TGCGGCACTGGAAAAGCGGGTTCCCGGGGAGCCCCCTCCCTAGGCTGGCGCTCCGATTCGGCAAGACTTGTTGCTGGCGGGCTGCGATTGGGCCAGCGGGGGCGGGGGGCGGCCTGGCCACCCACCTGCTGTGCCTGCTGCACCTGGCGAAAGAATTTCCCACGATGCCATTTCCTGACGGAGAGGATGCTTTGTGATGCACACGCACACACACGCTTCCGTTGAGAGAGGCTGGCGTTGCCGCCTGGGTGAGAGAGAGAAGGGGCCATTCCTGCGCCAAGCTGGACCCAGGCTCCCCTCGCTCGCTGGTGCATCAGTTGCTCAAAACGATCTGGAAAGAAGCCAGTGAAGGTGGGAAACACCGAGAAGCTGGTAGCAGAGACATGGAAACGGCTGCAACTTAAACGGGGCAGAGGAAGCACCTGGGTATCAGACGGCATGCCTTGTTCTGCGCTGTTTCGGCTGGCTGGAATCAAGGCCAGTGAGAATGATGGAAATTGCAATCCAGCACATCTGGAAGGGCCCCCGTTAGCAAAGTCCGCCCCGCCGTGATGGTGGAAGTGTTGGTTCATTCCCTGGTGTATATACCGCTCTTCCTAACCGAGATGGCAGGCTAGGGGGTCAGACTAGATGGTTCAGGAGGCCCCTTCCGCCTCACCCTGTTTCTAAATCAAAAAGCAGCTGGCGCATGAAAGTGCAAATACAAAACGCAGGCACCAGTAAGATGGCGCTTCCCTCACCAGCTTGAAAATCTGACCAGCTGCTGAATCGATCAAGCCCCTTTCAGGAGAGACAGGACCCTGGCGGTCTCCTCGGGAAGACGAGAAGCCCCACAGGTGTGCAGAGGTGGGTCGCGAAGCTGAGCCTTGGAGGCGACCGATGTGCCTCTGGAGGCAGAAGGCGGCACAGGGAGGGCGAGCAGGATGTCTTCCCACCCCAAGCAGGGCCTCCGTTGCGGCACCGCTCGGCTAGAAACTATCCAGAGGTGGCACGACCCACGCGCCCCTCCATGGACCTGGAGGTCCGCTCCCGGCCCCGCTGGCCTCCGCCACGACGGCCTCCCAAAGAATCCTGGGAACTATGACCTGGTGCGGGAGCCGAGCCAGAGATCCCAGCCTTCCCACCACCGACCCAAGAACCACCCTGCCTGGGGACGGGGATGCCCACGGAGCCGTGCCCACTCGCAGGAGCCAGGGAGGAGCCCCGGACCTCCCGGCGGCGCTTCGCCAGAGAAGCACCGGCTTGCTTCCCCCGGGCGCGCTTCCCCTCTGGCAGACAGGCCGGCACACGCCTGAGACGCGGAGGGAGGGTCGCCCGCTTCGGCCCGGCAAGGACTCTCCATGCCCCAGCCCTGCAAAAGGGACACACTGCCGTCCGGCGGGGGAGCGGAGCAGCCGTGTGCAGACCTTTGGGGGCAGAACTGCCGCCCCCCTCCCCAGTGGCGGAGGACTCGGCGCCGGGCCGGGCACGGGTGTCTGGGGCGTGCGGCCCCCTGCGTTCTGCGGCTCCAGCCGGCCCGGGGCGGAGGCCACGCAGGGGGCCCAGGACGGGGCGCCACAGGCAGTCCCACGTGCGCCAGCGATGAGCCGGCGGCGGCCTCCTCTGCTTTCTGGTGGGGCTGGAAAGGGGAGCTGGCGCAGGCGGCACGAGGTGCGTTCTCAAGGAGGGCTCCGGCACGTGGCGCAGCCTTCCTCGCGTGGCGCGCGTCCTGCATGGCCCCCCCTGCCTGCTCGTCCCTCCATCCCCTTCCGTGGGAGGCGAGGCTGCCGGGGGCGGCTGAGCCACGGCCGCTTCACACGGGCCGCAGCCGAGGGGGCGTTCTCAGCAGCGCCCCCACAGCTGCGGGTTCCCTGGCCAATGTCGGCAGGTATAGTGGAAACTAGGCTGCCAACTTTTCCCCCAGCCCTGCTCCTGTGCTTTTAGCAGCAGGCAGACATGCCTGCAGCCGCCCCGGCCGGGCAATGGCTTTCCTGGCAGCATTAGCTCCGTGTCAGGAGACGCTTGGCCTCCACGGTCTCAGGGCACTGGGCTGCTGCTCCAAGCACGCAGGAGCAGGACCAGCCGGAGAAAGTTGGCCGCCATTCGCTCCGGCCACCCTCCCGCTTTCCCACACGGAGCTCAGATCCGGGCAGGGACCTTCCTTCCTTGCCTGCTCCTTCCCGACTGCGCCAGACCTGAGCGAATGCCTCTAATTCTGAGGAAGGCCACATGTTATGGCCGTGAAAGAGTCGGCAGACGCACGGGAGGAGCGAAGGGGGGGAGGCATCAGCTGGCAAGCCAGGAAGTCAGCAACTCCCTTCAAATTAGCGAGAGGCAAAAAGGGAGAATCCGTCCAGCAGGCAGGTCGGCTTGTCCTTTCTTGCTCTCCTCACAAGAATCCTTCAAAATCCACCCGCATTAAGCACGGAGGTCACCCTGCCCTGGCTTCTTCCTGCTGCAAGAGAAGTCCAATTCTTCGCGAGAGGCACTGGGAACGCACGATGCCGGAGCAGCCGGGCCGGCCTTCGCTCGCCGCCTGTCGCCTTGCCCTGCCTCGCCTGGGCAAACCCGGGGGCAGCAAGCAGGCTCCCAGGCCAGCCGAGGAAAGGGGCACTCCGAGGCAGGGCGCTGGCAGCCATGCCGCTCCGGAGGCAGCGAGGATGCGAATGGGCGCCAGGCTCCAGCTGGCTCCCCCACCCAGCCCGGCCTCAGCTGCAGCACACCAGGGCTCCCGGAAGATGCCCTCCTCCAGAGGAGGCCCCGACTCACAAGGAATCCTCTTGTGTCCCTTCCTCCAGCACACGTCCAGGGGGCACCAAGAGACCCACAGCCCCCACGGCCTGCTTTGGGATGCTGCCCGCGTTGCCGGTTGTCGACTCGTCTTTTAAGAAATTTGCACAGCATCTCAGGTTCTCTCCGAAGCCCCAGGTCTGTTTTCCACCAGCCAAGCATTGTCCCGCATGTGGCATTTCTTGTCTACGTGTTATTCCCTACTTAAGGTTGTTCAGACAACATCAAGACCTGCCAGTTTCACCTCTGTTTTCAAAGGCCACTTTTTGGGGAGCATTTTCAGAGCAGGCAAAAGATGGTATTATTTGCAGAAGTGCAAGAAAACACATTTTCCGAAGTGCACCGGTTTGCTAGACTGCAGTGCCATCTAGAGGTCGCATGGTGGAAAAACAGGAAAGGAAATCCACCGTGTGGCACCGTGATCGCACTCCTGGAACAAAACCAGAATATAGTGGATTAAGAGCTCGTATGGAGAACCCCCAAGGAGCTCGCCTGGTTCACCCTGGTTTTGAGTTAGCGGAGGAAGAGGAGGAGAGTTACGCAAGCTCTGTTGGGTTCCTTGGAGGAAAAAAGGTGAGATACAAATATACAAATAAATATCAGTCTTAAATAGAATAAAATTAGGGGGCAAGGCAGTCAATCCATAAACCTCCCGGCCTTTCATTGCACTGAATCGATCTCATTCCTGGCCACCCTAAACATCAGGGCGACCCTAAACACAAAGATGTGAAGAGACTCAGTCGTCCTTGTATCGTTCATTTAGGGTGGCCGTGTGCCCTCTGTTAGAGAGGGCAGTCCTCTCCTTGAAGGAATTTATGTCTGGAAACTAACTGCATGCAAGAGTAAGAAGCCGTGAGAGAATCTGCAGGCGTAGTGAGGGACGGACCATATTTTCAGTTCCTTCGCGACCGGCCGTCACGTCCCTCCTGGGAGAGCAGCACCTGGGGAATTTCTGCTTCTTGACAACTTTCCAGGCACGGTGCCATGGCAGGGGGTGCAGCGGAGAGCTCAGGGGACCAGACCTAACCGGTCCAGCGATGCTGAGCCACCTGCACGGCTGCATCTGTGGATTCGATTTCAGAATTTAATTCTGTCCGGAAGCCAAAACGCTCTGGCACTTTGCAAAGCGTGATGGGATGGCTCGCAGCTTGCGATCTGCAAGTCAACGCAGGGCGACCACGGAGGAAGGTGCCCAGAAAGCAAGAGCAGAGATGAGGCGGGAGGGGGAAAACAGGTAGCCCTCAGCCAGGAGGCCGCGTTGCCCGGGGCCAGTGCATTGGTCCAGGGAGGCCGAGGAGGCCAGCAACGGCAGGGGTCCTTCACCAATGCTGCTTGTTCCGGGATGCTGCTGACCTCCACCCCAAATCGGTGCACCGTGGAGCACCGTGGACAGCTGCGATGAAACTCAAAGTAAAGGTTGCAGGGGATAAGGATGCCCTCTGGGTACCGCAGGGCAGGGGCGTCTCTCCCGACTCCAGAGCCAACGGTCAAATGCTGGAATTCACCGTGTCCGCATCCAATGGGTGGAATAGCCAAGCGGCCCTCATTCCTCACTTCCTTACTGCAGGGAAGGTTTTAATACGCCCCGAAAAATCCCTGTTCTAAGTGCCGAGAGGCGTCTGCCCTCTAGTGTCCAAACCAAAGCCAACACTTCTGGAGATACGAAATAATAGGAATCTTCTGGGTCCGTTGAGGCATTATTTTCCCCAAGCGGCACTGCCATCTGAGCAGAAAAAGAAAGGGACCCGCTCTTTGCCTTTCACAGCGGTTTGATCTTCAGAAATCAACAGATCAAGCCTTAAAAAGAAAGTCTCTGGCACGATCCCTTCTTCTTGTTTACAGACCTCCTGGCTCTGAAGCGCACAGGAGCACGGACAGCAAAAAAAAAGAGAAAAGCTGGCAACCCGAGTCCAGGGGGAGGAGAGGAGGAAGTCCCCCTCCCCCGAGAGGGAAGGCAGGGGTCACTCGGCAGGTGCCTTCGGTGCCCCACGCGTCTGCCCCACAAGCAGCCGTATTCAAATAGGCTTCCTGTTTCCTTTTCACACTTCAGTCTGTTTCTCTCTTCTTCTGGCCAGGAGTGAGAAACAGGAAGCAAAGCGTCAGGGTCTCTGCGAGGCGAGCCATTCGGACCCAGCCCACGTCGAGAGAGGCGCCTCCCCGGCTCCAGACGCCACCGACCCCCGGCTGCAGGCGGCCGGTGGCCCCGGGCAGGGACGCTTCCACGGGGGCCCCGTGGCCCCGTGGCCGGCACGAGGATGGAGGCCGTGGCCCTGTACAACTTCCAGGCCGACGAAAGGGACGAGCTGGCGTTCAAGAAGGGGGACACGCTGAAGGTACTGCCGTCGGCAACTCGGGCCGGGAAACCCACCGCCGGGGGGGCCGCACACCCTCTGGGCAGTGGTTTCTTTATTATGTTTATACCCTGACTTTTCCCTTGCAAGGAACCCCAGGCAAAATCCTCCTCTTCTCCATCTGATCCCCACGACAACAACCCTGTGAGGTAGGCGAGGCCGAGAGGCCACCGCTGGCCCAGAGCATTGCGGCCAAGCAGGTCTCGAACCCGGATCTCCTGGGTCCCAGTCCAATGTTTCATTTCCCCCACCAAAACCACGGTGGTCCGCTCCCTCTCTTTCTAAAATAACAGAGCATCTAGTTGGCCTCAGCCAGCCAGCCAGCCAGCCAGCCAGCCCCCCCGGGCAAAAAGGCCGGCCAGGCGTGAGTCACCCCGCTTTCGCTTCACCTGGCGAGCCAAAGGTGCTGTCTTTGCACACCTGTGCCCCCCCCCCCCTTGAGGGCTGCAATCTTCCTCCGCTCTGGCATTTGTTCTCAGCACTAAGAACTAGAAACTTGCGCGTTGGACAAGATAGAAAAGAAAGAACCGGCCATGAGAGAGCCTCAGAGAGAGGCACCCAGTGGCTGATCTCCTTCTCCGTTCTCCAGAATCCAGGCCCACAGGCATCCCCGCAATTCTCTGGGGCAGCCTTTCCCAATCAGGGGTTGATGGGAACTGTAGTCTGACTCGTCCGTGCCATGCATATGTGGCAGATAGAAAATTATGATTGTCTCCGTGTTTCATGTTTGTACATCTATGAGTTTCATAATGTATTTTAAGGTTTTAATCTTTGCAAACTGCTCAAAGTACCTTGGCGATTAAGCAGTAGAGAAACAGGAAATGAATGTGCGCAGAACCCCAAATCTTTGCTTGCAGGATCCAGGGCGTGATCTTTGCTTTCCTCTTTAAAGGCCTCGTCCTGAGCTGGACAGTGCCTCAGGGAGAGCCCTGCCCTCTCTAACAGCTGGATGGATGGATGGATGTTCGCAGCCAGCACCTAAGCGTCCTGGAAAACAGAAAGAGAGCGAGTCAGAAGGGGCCTCCCGGCCATCTAGTCTGACCCCGGCTCCAGCCGGCTCCGCTCACGACATGAGCTCCAAACTAAAAAGGCTGAAAGCACTTGCAGCTTTTTTCAAGCGAACTCATTGCGTGACTATGAGCCCCGAAAGGTGGAAGCAGGAACCGCGAGAGGCCGTCCCCGCAGGCAGAAGGTCCCTGGCCCCGTCCCCCTGCTCCTCCGGCCAGGATTCACTGCAGAGCGGCCTGGGAAACGCGGGGCCGGGGGGCACGCAGGCCTGGGCTGGCGCGGCGAGGGGGCACCGCCGCGTTTCCTCCCGATTCGGTCCGCGGCTCATGCCAAGTGCCGGCCGCCCACCGGCTGGACTCCCCTCCAGAGCACGGAACCTTGAAGCACAGGGTGTCCCCAGCGGGCTCTCAGATCCTGTTTTCAGAGGCAAGAGAACAGCTTCTCACGCATGGCTGGCGAGCTCTGCCGGAAGGCGAGTGGGGCACCTGCCGTGTCGAGGGGCCGGTGGCGTCATGGCAAATTTCAGAGCATGGGCACGTGCCACGGCGGCCGCGCCAGCTTCGCCCACAGGGAGAGGCCGAACGCACGGGCGGCGGGAACCGCGCATTTGGACCAACCCGTTCTAGCGGCCCAACCAGAAGCCAAGCTTGTGCAGGGCTTAAACTTTGGCAAGGCTTTCAGGAACCTAAACTGCCCCCGAGTTCAAGAGCAAGCTGCCCCCGAGGGGTTTGCTGGCGAGCACTGGCTGACTGGGCTGAGGCCCAAGGATGCCCCACACCCCGTGGCTGAGCATGGGTTGCGTTCCTGCTGTCCAGCAGCACCAACAAACCATGGTCTGTTCACCAACCCATGAAGAGAACCCATGGTTTGCTCATGGATCAACTGTGGGTTGTTCACCACGGTTTGTTTGCTGGGTTCTGGCCACAGCATGTCCTCTTCTGGGCAAGTGTGTGCAGGGCAAAGCGTTGCCAAGATCTTCCTCAGCCCTGCTCCTCTGCCTTTAGCAACAGCAAAGTCTGCCGAAACGACAGGTGAGAACAGTGCGTGGCCTTCTTTGCGCTGTGAAAAATGTGACCCCTGCTTTCTGCACCCTGAACTGCCCTTGAAAACACAAGGGAAAACTACCAGGCTGTTTGAGTGTGTGTGTGAATGGACCGTTGAGAGCAAGCTATAAGCATTCTGATGCATTTCCAGACCCTTCCACACCTCGGGCTTGATTACCAGACACCAATACCTCCCTCTTGCTCTTCCACAGCCCCCGTTCTGTCAGCCCGAAGCCACTGAGTTCCGTCTTAGAGGGATGTCTTTACGTGTAAAGAAGAAGAATTTATATTTATAGAGTGCTTATGCAAAGTACTTCAAGTGATTTGCACACATCTGCAATTTTGTAAAGCAGGTCAGGTCCAGAAAGCCAGGTGGGACCCCGACTGTAGCCTCTGATTGTGTGGCCTCTGAAAGGGCCGTGCAGTCACCAAAAGAAAAGAGAAAACGAACTTTTCCTCTTGGCTCCTTCAAGGCCAGGGTTCCAGCTGCCCGCCAGGAATCGCCTCCCCAAAGTGGCCCTGCTCTCTGGACCAGCCTCTAACCAGCCCCTTTCCTCCTCCTGTACCTGCAGATCCTGAACATGGAAGATGACCTGAACTGGTACAAAGCAGAGCTGTTTGGCACGGAAGGATTTGTCCCCAAGAATTACATCAAAATGAAGCCCCACCCGTGAGTAGCTTTTGCTGAATGCCAGGCCGCGACACCCCCCCCCACCCCGGGGCCAGTCCTTGGGGCTCTGCAGCCGGGGGCATCCCAAGGGCCCACCTGGAAAGGGGCAGGGTGTGGGAAGCACGGAACGGGCACCGGAGCCCGGACACAGGCCCACCAAGCACTCTCCTTATTCTGCAAGGCGTCTAAGGAGATCGGGGTGGCCAGCCGGAAGGGCGCACGTTCTTATTCCCACTCTTAAAAAGCACGGGCCTTTCCTACAACACAGCTCTGCTTCGAGGGCATTCTGCATCCAGCGGCAGGAGCAGAGCCCGGTTCCTTCCTGCAGCCGCAGCAGGGCCATAATTCGAGCGGGTGAGGACGCCAGACGGCGCGTGCTCGGTCCTTCCCCAGGGCAGGCGCGTGTGAACAGCACAGAAGCAGTTGCGAAGCAGGGGGTGGCGGAGGACAACAGGGAGGGAGGCCGAAGAGGGACACCCGAAAAGCCCCTCAGAGGACCCCCGTGGTGTAAGCCCCCCAGTTTAGACACCCCTGCTTCCAGTCACTCACACAACCCGTTTGGTGCGATCCAACATTTATGTTTTGTTTTATTTTCCGATTGATATCCTGCCTTTTTCCTACAAAGGGCTCAAGGCAGCTTACATCTCCTCCTCCATCTTATCCCCACAACAACAACCCTGTGAGGTAGGTTGGGCTGAGAGTCTGTGACTGGCCCAAAGTCACCCAGTGGGCTCCATGGCTGAGCAGGGACTCAAACCCGGATCGTCTGAGTCCCAGTCCCATGCTCTTAACCACTACACCACACTGCCCCTCTTGCATCCCTGGATTCTAATGCCTCTTCCCACGCCTGGACAGCTTTGCTAGCATCTCATCCTCGTGCAGGATCTGAGCAGAGTTTGGAAAAGAAAAAAAAGCAGTAGATGATTTGAAGGGATTGGAAGATTGGTTGTCGTGTAGATCAGTGATTTCTTTTTTGTTGACCTCTCTTAGAGTGTTGAAAGAGGAGAAGATCCAAAGCAGATTTGGGGGGCTGAACATATAGGATGTATTTGCACAGGACTCCCTTGGCAGCTCTGCTCATTTCAGCTTTGCTTGTTTCAGTTTGCTCTGTTGCATATTCCTTTTTGCATACTTACGTTAAGAAAATAAAATTTTAAAAAAGAAAAGCTTTGCCTGCCAACCGAGCTGGGCAGAGGCCCGGAAGCGGACCGAAGCGGGCCCGGAGGCATGAACCCTGGAGCTTTCCCGCCACTGATTCTGCCCTCTGGCTCTCCCGTCCAGGTGGTACTGCGGCAAAATCTCCAGGCAAGCAGCCGAGAAGTCGCTCTTACAGCAGCAGTTCCGGGGAGCTTTTCTCATCAGGGTGAGCGAGAGCAGCCCGGGAGACTTCTCCATCTCTGTGAAGTAAGTCAGGCTCGGCAGTCGCCCGTTCTGTGTGATTGCCAACACAATCCTGTGCATGTGTATATACAAACATGCAACAGAAACAGAGGCTGGGGCATGCTGGGAACTGTAGGACATGTTTCTGCCGGAACATGCACAGGATGGTAACCCCGACTGCTTGCCTTTATTTGTCTTCCGGCTGTGTGTGTGCGTGTCTTTAAATATTATCTGGGTCAATCATATGCATTGGATTGGATTTTCCTATGTACCGTCTTGTGAGGGCCTGCCTCCAAAAGTGCGTTTTGGATTAATATTAATCCAAATATTAAATAGAGTGACTTGGGAACATGACAATTGCGTGGATGAAAAAATGGTGCATCAGCTCTCGCTGTTCTGAGCCATCGGTGACATTCTCAAGGGGGCCGAAGCGTCTGTGAAAAGAAATCAGACGGGCCCCCCACCCGAAGCTCTTTAGCTATCGGGGTGGTATAGAATATAATAGCTTTTTAAAAAGAACTCTTTTCCCGGGGGTACTTTATGGGATAGGAGGAAAAGTGCTGCCGTTTTCTGTCCTTGGGAGCAGCAGGAGGCGCCTTCTGCACACCAGAAAGCTCGCGAGCGGTTTGCAGTTACGCAGCTAGAGGAGGATGCCGGGCGCAGGATACTGCGTTCTGCTCTGGTGGTGCAGTGGAACATGGGCTCAAGCAGATGCAGTGGATTAGAAAGCCTCCTCACCTCGATTCGGCCCAGCCCGGAATTCCCAGTTCCTCCTGCGTTTAGCCACAGGCTTCTCCAGCATCGTCCCCACCTGCGGTGTCGGGCGCCTTGGGAAGCATCCTACAGTGTGGCTCGGCCATCCGTGGTCAGCCGTCCGAGGGAAAGCGGCCAGGACCGGTCTGCGAGGCGGGGGTTTCCTTGGGGGCCACCGCTCAGAGCTCCCCTGGCAGCTGCAGAGCAGAGCGGGCTGCTCGGACGGGCACCGCGCTGCGACGAGGATGGCATCTGCGATCGCTCCCCGTCCTCTTGTGGGAAGGAGGGGTGCAAAGGTCCAGTGCCGTTAATCCATTCTCACATGACGAAACTTCCCTTTCCGCCTCGCACCGAAGGCCCTACCGATCCACACCAGTGCATCACGCGCGGGGAGAAAGAGCCTTCCGCTGTCCCCAAAGCCGTGTGGGACCGACCCCGCTCCTGAACCTGCCGCCGCAGCTCTCCTGTTCGCTGGGCTGCCTTACGAATTTCTCGGCCCCGCCAGAGGGTTCGAAACAGGATCCCGAGTGCCGAGCGGGTGACGGACAGCGCAAAGCTTCTTTGGTGCTCCCCAGACCAGTCGTTCCAAAACGTGGCGAGAGCAGGCACCCACGCGAAGGCGCCCAGCCTCCGAAATCCCTCCGAACGGGTTTGATGCCCGGCCGTTTCATTTCTGCCCCCGGCGGCAGGTACACACAACAGGGCGATTCCGTGCCAGATTTTGGAAGGCATCAGACAGGTGGCTCCAGGCAGTGACTAGCCGAGCGTCACCAGGGAAGCTCCCCGCGTGGTGGGCAAGCTTTGTGACCACCCCCCTGCTCCTGCTCTCCCTAATGGGAAAGGGCCCAGAGCCACCTTGTGGCCAGGAAGGCTCTCAGCCACCGAGCCCACGCCCTGCCCGGAGACCTCTGCGTGAGATCAGAGGCTACGAACGCAGCCGGGCTCCTTGGAGCTGGGACCTCCGGGTGCGTCGGACTACAGCTCCCACGCCCCCAGTCAGCGGGGCCGGGGCCAGCGTGGCCGGCCCACCCCAGCAGCTTGCCAGATCCCTGGGCACGGCACCGTGCCTCCGCAGCGCCCCCGAGGCCGCCACGACGGCCTCCGTGGTGCCACGCTCAGCCCGGAGGGCCAGGCGCGGCCCACGTTCAGGTTCAGACCCATCTTCCTGCTGGGACGAATCCTCCGCCGCGCCGAGCCCCCCATGCCAAGGACAACCCATGCGGAGAGCAGCCCGAGCGGGGGGAGGCCGGGAGGGGAGCTCGCCTTCGCTCTGCCAGCCCCGCGTCTCCTGCCCGGGCTCCTCGGCCTCAGGGGCCGACCTGGAGGGAGCGCCTATTCGCTCTCCTCACACCTGCTGAAAAGCCACGGAAGAGATTCAGCTACCGACCTGGGAGATGCTTCTCGGCAGCTTCTCCCAGCCACGTGGGTTGAACCGGCCCCGCCAACTCTGGAAGGAAACAGAGAAACAGAGCAAGTCAGAAGGGGTCTCCCGGGCCATCTAGTCTGACCCCCGGCTCCAGCCGGCTCTGCGCACGACATGCCTCCCATGTGCATGTCCAGCCTGTCCTTGAACACCCGCACCGATGGGGCCTCAACAACCTCCCATGGAAGCCCATTCCACACCCTCGGGGTCCCGACTGTCAGGAAGTGCTTCCTGGCATCCAAATGGAACCTCGGTGCCCTGAGCTTGGCTCCTTTGGAGCACGTCCTGCCTTCGCCTGCCGGGGAGAATGGGTCTCGACCCACCTCCGTGGGACAGCTCCGTGCTGCGTGCAAAGGGCAAGAGGAAGGGTATGGAGAACCTCTTGTCAGCAAGGTATTTGCTGCTGGGGCGTGGGGGGGGGGGGGGGGCCGGGAGAGGCTCTGCCTGCTCTCCCGCCATGCTCACACCAGGTTCAGTTTCTCCCGCAACCCACGTGTATTTACCTTGGCAAAAGCCATTTGACAACTGGAGTCACGTCAAAAGAGAGAAAGCAGCTTCTTAAAGACGCACGTTCCTAACGGTGCAATTGCTGGGGGGGGGGGGGGGGCTTCCCACTTCATCTGCGCTCCAAGCACAGGCTGCCGAAGAAAAGCCCTGAGCTCTGACCCACGGCAAGTCTTGAACCGGAGGCGGAGGGCTTCGGCTGGCACGCTTCTTCTCAGTGTCAGCTGAAGGATGAACCCTCCCTCCCAACCAGAGGCCCTCGTGAAGGGTTGGACTGCGACACCCATTATCCTCGGAATTCTGGGAGTTGCAGTCCAGCGATCCTGAAGACGCCAGGCGCTCCATGCTTTTCTGCCGGAATCCAGCCGTGCGCGGGAGCTCCGTCCGTGCCGACGGGCCACTGGCTGCCAAAAGCGCCTTTCGCATCACATGGCGAAATAGCAGGCGGCAATCTGGAGCAAAGAAGCCCCCGCCCGCAGGGCCCTGATCCGGATGAGACTCGTGCTCCAGAGCGAGGGGCTGTGGCTGCAGCTCTCTGGAAGAAAACTAGCCCTGCAGTGAGGGCTGCAGTTCCGTGGCTCTGGGGGGCACCAGGTTGGGGAAGACAGTCCCAAGATCTCCTCAGCCAGGAGAGAGAGGCCTTCTCCAGCTTCCAGGGCCATTTTGAGCACAATCCTGCCATTGCACAGGTGGAAACGGCCCACTCTGGGGTGCCATAAGAAGCCGGGTGCTTTTTGTCCCATTTCTTTTCGGACTCGGGGTCCAAAGTGCTTTGGGTTGTGCCTGGGATCCCCGAGTCAAACGCTTATTCATAATTATCCGTTTTTCTTAATTATTATTGTTAATATAAACAGGCCGGCTAGATGCCTCAGGGTTTCCCCCCTGCCCCCACTTCCAGCCTCTTCAGAGGGAACAGACCAATTAAATCTCCGTTTCCAGATTCCTCATGGAAGGGAACGGTGTCTTTGCGAGCTGAGCCAAGCAGCCCACCCTCGGCTTCGTAGAAGCAAGTCGGCGGCACGGAGCCGGCCGGCCGGACCAGCCCTGGCATGTTCTCCACCCAGCCACCATGGTTCAAACGGGGATATTAGAAGGCAGACGTCACTCTCCTGGGATGGGAAACAGCGGTTTGTCATTCTGGCTCTTGTTCCAAGGGAGGCAGCCCGGTTTGGAGCTCTGCCGGTTTGTTCCCAACAAGTTTGCGGCAATGGGGATGGAGTTTTCCCCTGCGGGGCAAGGCAGCTGCCGAAGGGGTGCGTTTTCCTTTCTGCTTTAGCTCGTGCCAGTTGTGCTTTGCAAAAATCTTTGCAAAATTACAAAGCACGGCGGATTGGAGAGCCCTCCCAGGCCAAGTTGCTGCCCGTCTGCTCCTGCAGCCTCGTCACCTGCCCCCCCAGTTCAGACAAAAGCCGCTGGCTGAACAGAGAGGACTCGCTGGGCTCCACATGGGGGAAGCCGAGGGCAGGCTGGAAGTCTTCCGCAGGGCGATGTGCAGATGTGCTCAGCATCTGCATGTCTTCTGCAGCCTCCCGCAAGCGGGTGTTCCCGACGTGCTGCTCCGAGACCCTCCTGCCAGCCCGGCAGGCTGGAGCAGCATCTGCTGAATGGCCTCCGCTGGCCGGGACCCATCGGGCGGCCGGAGGAAGAGCCTTCGGGTGGAGCCGGGGCAGAGGGCCGTCTGCAGGCCCGAGCGGGCTCTTCCCCATCGTGCCGCCTCATTTTGACTGGCGTCCTCGTCTCTCAACACCTAGCAGGCAGATGTTGCGGCGCCTTCACGCGCCGCCGTGGGGCCAGAGCCTTGCTCTCCGCCAAGGGACCACCCAGAGAGCAGGAGATGCGGAGGGCATCCGGCATGCTCCCTGTTACGCCACCCGCCATAAGGAAGCTAGGGCTGGACTGGAGGGCGGTTCAACTCCGAGCTGTTCATGCTTTGACTTTGGGGAGCCCCTTCAAACAGGGCTGGCAAATAGCTTTTCCGCGGGGCTGCTCTGCAGCAGCTGCAAAGCACGGAACGGGCGATCGGAGGCAGCGAGGAAGATCCGCTGCTTCATAGCCGGCTGTCTATAAATTCATGATAACCCCAGGCATAAATTCCTCAAACCACAGGGCCACCTTCCCGCCATTTGCCACGGGGCTGAAGCCGTGCAAACATAACGAGCGTTCTCCTGACGATGCCTGCTCTGCCGTGGCTCGATCCCACATGCAAGCCGCCACTTGACGCGGGCAGCTGACGTCAGGCGCGCTGCATCGTGTCCCTACCGGCCCAGGCACCCACCCGTGCGGTTGGCTTGCACAAGCGAGGGCTGGAGATGAACCCGGGCAGGAGAGCTTTCATTAAGGCCTCACGTGAACATCAGGGTCATGTGTGGCTGGAAGCTGTTCAGAAAAACAAGTTACTAGAGAAGCTCTTCCAAGCTTCCAAGACGGGCCAGGTTATGCACCAGCAATATTCTTATTTATCTTATTTCTATACTGCCCAATATCCCAAGCTCTCTGAGGCCAGGACAAGTGGTGGAAGGTCTGAAGACTCTAATGTTTGTATTTAAACAAACCAGAAACAAAATGGCTAAATTTCTATTAAGAATTAGAGATTTCTATTTTGTTCAAAGCTGGGGTTGTCCAGTTTTGTTCATCTTCCATTTGCAACCTTCCTGTGTTTCTCTATGGCTTCTTCCACCCCTTTTCTCAACGAAAGAAAATATTTTAAGTAAATAAAAGAAGGGCTAACTGGACAATGTCCTTTTATGGGCAGCACCAAGAACTAACAGCAGGACCCACACGGGTTCCAACTTCCAGCTTCTGAACAATACAAGAAGGAATAGAGCAGGTTTAGGTTTGCTCCGTTTTGTTTGTTTTCTTCTGCATGAAGCAGCTGAAACAGGAAGTTGGCAGGAGCAGGGGAACCGGGTGTGGATTCTTCAGTGAAAGGACGGCAAGCTGATGTCTAAAATGAACACAAATTATGGGTCTGAGACATGCACACGTGATTCTGGGGCTGCTGCAAAGCAATGCATGCTTATTTGGGCGTAAGCTGCAACTGGATTGCCCCAGGAATTGGCGTGCCTCGTGCTGAGGCGCTCTTCGGCCTGTCCCCACTTGGTGGACTTGAGGGTTCTTGCAAAAAACCAAGCGACTCCCACAAGCGGGGGGTCTGCCTGTCTCAGGTCGCTGCAGGTTCACTGCTGAAAACAACCTTCTGGGTGCTCCCAGGTGTGCTGAGCGACAGTTTCCATAATCCCCCAGCTTGTAGTGTAGAAGGGCATCTGGAGGGCACCGAGCTGACTCCGAGGCACTGGTTCTGCCCTCTCCTGCTCGCAAACTTGTGCATTTTAGCTTGCAGCTCTTTCAGCCCATGGCAAACACGCCACGTGAGTAGAAAAGATGCAATCAACTTCTCCCCCAATTAAAAACAGGGGCCTGCAAACCAGCCCTGTTTGAGTGAAAAGGTCTCCGCTTTTGGCCTGAGTAACCCGAGCTTGTGGCCCCTGCTCAAGCAAACACCAGGCGAAGTTCTGCACTCAGAGAGACGCCCGTCAGCGGGACAGCTGTAATCCCCTTTGACGGATCAGGCCCTGGGAGGCACCCTGGCTTGTCAGGAGGCACCCAGGGTTGGGACTTGCGTGGCAACCGCCATCTAGCCGTGGCACGCTGCGAGGCAGCCTGGGAAAGCGTCAGCGGCCAAGCGTTGGCTGCCTGAGGTTATGCCGACGAGATGCTGGTGCACCACGTCTCCAGAGCCACTTTCCAGGCCTCTCCAGGGGCAAAGGCTGCGAACGGAATAGGTGAGGCTGTCTAAAGCCCCTCCATGGAACAGCCCGATCTGCTAATGCACCATCGTCTGTCAGCCACCAGGAATACTCCTTCCTGGGTCCGTGCCATGCAAAATTCAGCAGCCTGTGGACCCCACTTTTCCTAAACAGGAAACAAGACCGGGCTTCGACTTCTGATCACCAGAAAGTAGGTGGTGAAACCCGATTCCAGAGGAAGGAAGGGGCCACAAAGGGGCTCCCGTCCGACATAAGGGGGGGCCACAACCTGCCCGCCTCATTTTCTCCCACAGACTGAAAATAGATCAGGGCCAACACAGGGCAGCTTGTAGGACTGACAACGCACAGAGAAGGCAGAATTTCTGCACTCCTCCTTGGCAAAGAAGCAGCACAAGCTGCGGTTTGATAAGGCTGTGCGGCACAGGAACAAATTGTGCCCTGCACACGCCACCCCACCGGAGTCCGAAGCCATACTCAGTCCGTGATGCGTGCGGCAATTTAAGAAAGCCCCCATCCCTGCCCTGTAGCCTCTCTCTTTCCGTGCTAATTCTTTGCTTCTTCCTGCAGCTACGGCCAGCAAGTGCTGCACTTCAAAGTCCTCCGAGAGAAGGGGGGGAAGTACCATCTCTGGGACGAGAAGTTCAATTCGCTCAACGAGCTCGTGGATTTCTACAGGACCAGCACCATCGACAAGAAGGGGCAGGTGTTCCTCAGGGATCACAGAGAAATGCAGGAGGTATGTGGCTGCTTCCTCTCCTTCCCCAAACCGGTACGGCGTGCTCCTTCGCAAGCTGGTGTGCCCCAGTCGCACTGGACTACAACTCCCACAGCCCCCGAGTCAGGTAGAGCAGGCGCCTCCCCTCAGCCCTCACCTCCTTCTCTTCTCCCCGCAGCCCCAGAAGCCGAAGTTTGTCCAAGCGCAGTTCAACTTCACGGCCGAAAATCCCTCGCAGCTGAGCTTCTGCAGAGGGGACGTCCTGGAAATCCTGGACTGCTCGGACCCCAACTGGTGGAGCGGGAAGATAGGGGTGAAAACCGGCATCTTTCCCCGGAACTACGTCTTCCCCCTGCGCCTCTGACCGGCTGTGCCCGCCAACCAGCTGGAGGGTCTTTCCACAGCAGCCGGTCAGCATCCCTCCAGACGAGGCCAGAAGCTCATGGACCATGAATGGCCGTCCCACTGGGACCTTTTGTAGGAAGAGAAAAGGGGGGCCGCTCTCACACGGGGACTGATATTCTAATAATCTTCAACCCTTTCAGACCGAGGACCCGCTATTAGCCCAAACATGCGTCAGGGGAGCGACTCCTGGCTGCAACCCAACCGAGCTCAGGCGGCAACCCAACAGGGGCAGCAAGAGCAGCTGGGCCCAAGACGGTGAGAAGCTGGCCGTGTTCTGGGAGGTACCCACGGATCGTGTCCTGCCCAAGGGTCCTCCAGAAACCGGGGCCGTCAACCGGTCGTTCGGTTTTCCACAAGGGAGTAACGTAACTTGCTCCTGCCAGGCCCGACTAGGTTAATCATCGTCGTTTCCCTTCGGGGAACCTGGGCACTGTAGCTAGTGAGGATGCTGTCCTGTAACCCCCCGGTTCCTCTCCTGCAGAATTACAGTTCCCAGCATCTCCTGCGGAAAGAGGGTGGCTGAGAGGCCGGCACGCATTCTCGCTGCGCTGGCACCTCCGTTTGGCGGGTTTGCTTGTGGCTGCCCTTCCGGCCTGCCTGGCCCCGGACAGGTGAGCTCATTCGAGCGAGATACGTTTGTGCCTGCAACTCCACAGCCACGGCCTCATCCAGCGAGCCCCTTCCACACCCGGGTGGTTTCCAATGTCGGAACACAGGGCTCGTTCGTGACGCAGGGGGGATTCCCAGAGCAAATCTCTGTTCTCCTTTTTCTGTTGTAAAAACACTCAGGTATCTGTCTCTAGATTCATGTGTGTGGGCCAGGCCTACTCCATATCAAACTGTGATTTTGCTTCCTCCTTTCGGGAGTCACTACCAGCAGCAAGTCTGAGGAAGGAGCGGTCGGATAAACATCCGCGGCCAGCCGAGAACGCCAGGAGCTGCCGCTTGGCCTTCTGCAGGCTGCCTGCCACTTCCAGACGCTCGCGAAGTCCCGGGCTCGTCCAGCAAAGCTGCGAGACGGAGCGATGGCCTCTTGGCCCACTTTGCCCGGGGCGGCTCGCTTTGCTGAGTGGGGGCGGAAGCGCCCCAAAGTCTCGGGCTTAACTGTGTTGCCTAAAACTGCCTCCAGGACAAGCTGCACACGCTTTCCGATTTTCCAATACCAAAATATGTTTGCTTGCTTGTTTAAAGCAGGAATGCTCAGGCATCTTCTATCTGTCCTCCATCTCAGTTGTCGTTTCAGTGAAACAGTACTGGATTTTGTGTGTCCTTCCCATCCGCGGTGGTGCTTTTTAAATAGCGCAGCCTTTGGTGAGCTGAATGGGGTTCAGGTCAGAGTATTATGGGCTGTTTGCTGCTCGGCGTGCTTTTCTGCAAAAGAACCTTCCAGGATTTCATTCTCTCTCTCCTTACGGTTACAAAAGAAAATTTTCCAGCTACGCTAGCTGTAAGAGCCAAGGTTGTCTGCAGTGAAGCACCCTATAAAATCCAAGTTTTCCTCTTTGAATGAATACACCAAGGGCCCATCAGTGGCTGAAATCAGGTTTAAAACAACATCGGTGCTGAATAATGCTCTTCCTTCCAGGTTCTCTTCCACTCTCCCTTCATCCCATACAGCTCCCGGTCCACACACACACACACACACACCTTCTGGCCCTTGCGGACAAGCCCGCACAAGATGTATTTCAAGCGAAATAAGCACAGAAAAAGACGTTGACACAGAGAAGAACTACGGCGTTCACGCAGCAGATCCAAGCCCAGAAGGGGGACTCCGTCGTCTCCGCAGGCCTTTCCGCTTCCGTAAAACAGGGGATGCAGGCCGCTCCGTTGCCGGAGCAGCTCCACGGGCATCTTTCCGGGGGATCTGCCGGAAAAGAGAGGGTGAGGGGATCCCCGCGACACGACCTCCGCGCCCACCTTCTGGCGGTCCGGGCACAGAGGCGACGGCCTCCTCCTCCCGCTCCATCCCACCAGCCCAGAGGTGTCCCGCTGCCGCAGACGGAGGATCCATTTTGCTATCATGGGGGAAGACCGGGTGGGATTCGATCTGGCCCAACGGAGCACGGGGGGGACCCCAAACACGCTTCGGGCACGCACTGTCCCTCGAGTGCTCCTAACGCATCGCAAGCCGGCTGGGCGGGGGTGTTGTTTTTGCCCGTTGCACCTTGCAGCCGTGCGGCCAGGCCTTCCCATCCGTTGCACCACCACTGGCGGGGGGGCGGGGGGGGTAGAAAACGCACGTGGAAGGCCGTGGCTTGGGCTGGGCAAGGCCGCTCGTGTGGGCCCACGAGTGGCCAGCACCACGTGCCGGCGTGCGCATGACCCACTTCCTGGCTCTCTCCTTCCCGCTTTGGTGCAAAAGAGCGTGGGTTGCCCCTGCTTTGGCTATGGAATTATTATTATTATTATTATTATTATTATTATTATTATTAACAATAATAATAATAGCAACAATGTTGTGCTTCCCCCCCTCACTTGTGTCCCTGGACCTGCCCCTCCTGGCCGTGCCCCCGCAGCTCGGCCCCCTGAGGTTCCCACAGCTGGTCCCCGGGTGGGTTTGCCCCTCTCCGAGCCGAGCCAAGCTTTCCTCTCGCTCCAGCCCTGGAAAAGGCACCATTCAAGCTGTGCAGCGGCCGTACCGTCGCTCTGTGCCCCCGGGCCCCCCTTCCCAGGCCGCTGCGCAGGAGGGGGCCCCTCCGGACGAGGACGTGTCCACCAGGTCACACCCCTGATCTGTGGAAAAGAAGGCGAGAAAGGAAAGTGGGGAACGGGGGGCCCTCGCCGGCGGTTAAGTTCCGGGGTTTATTTAAGCCACAGACAGACCATCCAATATCACAAGATCTCAGAGCGGCTGGCGGCGGTAAATGTCTCTGTGCGTGTGAACTACACCATGAAAAGCAAGCAAAATAAGCAAATGAAAAACTTTACGAGGGCACCAGATTTCAACTCAGGGAATGCCTGAGTGAACAGACAATCCTCGGCGGGGAGTCAAGCCGGCCGCAGGTTCCATTTCTCAAAGCACGGGCAGGGGCGCATTCAGAGGGTGGGTGCCACCACGCGGGAGGCGCTGCTTGGGTCCCGAAAATGGGGTCTCCAGGGCCCTCGAGGGTCCACGCATTGACAGGGGAGACGGCTGGCTTGGCAGAACAGCTGTTCAAGAACTGATGCTCAAAGAAGCGTGCAGCTGCGAAGACAATCTGGCTCACTCAAAGGCAAGCCGTGCTTTGGAGAGACATACCAAGGGGGTGTTTTCTCCACGGCCCGGCCTGCAATGCCCAGGATCTGGCCACTGGCCAAGCTTCGAGCACGTGTGATGGGAGTTGAAGTCCGAATCGTTCGGGGAGTGCCGGCTTCGAGAAGGCAGCTCCTGCGAAAGCCCGTGGAGCAGAGCGGGGCTTTTCTGCCCCGACCCGGTGCGCTTCTCCGCCTTGAGGGTGTCTCCTCGGCACCGCCGCTCCCCGGCACCAAGAGGCCCAGCCGGCGCCCGCCTTGGCGTTGGGAGCCCCCGACTCCAGAAGCGCCCTTCTCTCGGCAAAGAGGCCAGGCCGCCTGGCATGCCCTGATCTGCCTCCGAGGGCCACCGGTGCCAAGGAAAACGTGGCAGTGGGATTTGCTCAGGAATCTGCTCTGGGCGGGGCAGAGCGAGAACGCATCTTGCCCTGGGCTGGTTTCTTGACAAGAAGCCACGGAAGGAAAGCGGCCCATGTGTCAAACCGAGGAGCACCAGGACATCCTCATCGCTGTGGCTTCCCGCTGGCCGTTTTTAGCACAGGAAAGCACGGGCTTCTCCCCCACCCCGGAAGCAGAAGTCAAATGTTAGAACTATGGACTGCCGTGCTGTGTGGAAGTCGAATGCCGCCTCCGCCCAGCCTGCTCGGGCAGGGTGAGAGAGGCACAGATTTTGCAAGATCGGCTTCCTCCCAAGGCCAGGCACCTCGCGTTCTTCGTCCGCTTGCTGACCGGAATGCTTTGCTCAGCAGGAAGCTAATTTTCTACCTGCGCTAATCTTGGATTGGCCAAGTTCATGTGAGCACTGACACGTGGGTGCGATTGTGAGCATTCACACTTACATGAATCCGTGCAACTCCCCCTAAAAGTTAAAACAAAACCTGCCATCTGTGGAAATCGGAAAGAGCCAATGGCTGCAGAAGACACAGGTCGGAGCCAGAGAACCCGAGCTCAGCCGGGCCCGGTGCAGGTCCCTCCGACCCCTCATCGACGAGGTGCCTCAGTTCTCCCGGGAAACGCCCCGGACCTTGTCAGCTGCTCCGAGCATCCAAGCCCCATGGCCGGGAGTCCACACAAGGCTTCTCCCCCGCACCTGCCAGATTCGGGGAGCCGTGTGGAAGCCGCACGGAGCGCCGCGCCCCTGCCCCTGCCCTCCCCGCACTCACCTGGGACTCGGGGGGCGGTCCCGCCCCCAGGCTGATGCCCACCACCACGAGGGCCGTCAGCAGGCAGAGCAGGATGGCGAAATGGAGGTAGTGGACGTCCTTCACCAGGCGGGGGCGCTGGTCCAGGGTGCCGCAGGGCGGGGCGGGGTAGGCCAAGTCCAAGGCCAGCCGGCTCAGCCCCACCGCCAGCCCCACCATCAGCCCCCAGAAGGCTCCCTGCAAGGGAGGGCGTGAGCTGGACTGGGGTGCCAACCGCCTTCGAAGGGAGGGTTTCGGATCTCAGTCCAGGAGGTGACCTGGTGGTCCTCCAGATGTCCCGACTAAAGCTCCCATCATCCTAAGCCAACAGGAGGAGGCACGGGAGCTCCAGTCCAGCATACTGAGAGGGTATCCCTCACCGAACTACACTTCCCAGCGGGCGGGGGTCACAGCAGTGAACGGGGCAAGAACGCAACGCTCTGTGTAGCGGAAACCTGCCACGTGCCGGAGTGTTTCGGGGTGACAATCGGCAGGCTGGAAAGGGGGGCGCCGGGGGCTGCCCCCGCCTCCTTCCCAGAGGCACATCTTCGGTGGGAGAGTTGCGTGTCCGACCCGGGCTTTGCTCACCTGTCACTGACTCACCTGTCCACCCACCAGTTCCGGGAATGTCGATCCGTGCTTCTGTCTGGGAGGAGCTCTGAGAAGGAGGGCGTGGAGACGGGGTTTCCCCACGCTTCCTCCGCGAACGGCTCTCGGCTCACAAAGCTGGGCAAGACTTCCTGGTGAGGCTCCGAGAGCCCCCGCCAGCCGGAGAAGGTGGCCAGCCTGAGCGGCAGGAAGCCACCGGGGGAGCGGCCATAGCTCAGCGTGTTTTGTTTGTTTTTTTTTAAAGCCCAGGTCTACAGAGAGCAAATGCGCAGTGGTGAAAAGGCACCGATCCGGGCTGGCTTCATGCAGATCGGCTCATGCACAGTTATCGTGGGCCTGATACTTTCGGCTCCACCGCCCACCGGTTTTACGTGGCTGTTTTAAAACATTGCTCTGCCATTTTCATACTGTTGCATTTGCTAATGTTTTGTTTTTGTGTGCGTCATTGTAACCTGACTTTGGTATTATTAATAAAAAAAGAACAATCAACCGACTGACTCAGCATAAGACCAGCGGACTGAAACATACACAGAGTCTTAAAATAAGCAGTAAAAGACATCACTAGAGGCACTGTTAAAACAGGGCTCCGAACAGTATCAGGGACGGAACCCTGTTTTCCTAGACAAGGCATTTTCCGTGCACTCAACATTCCTTCCTGGCATTGTTCATGGATCCTTTACATGAGGTTGTGACCATCCAGTTTCACTTCTGTGTCTAAAGAGCATTTTCAATCTTTTTTCAGGGCCCTGAAAATGTGGCATTAAATCATGCAAGCAAAAGCAAGCATGATTCCCTCTCGTGTATTTGCACTATGCCACAGCGCCACCTAGAGGCCACGTTCCAGAAAGGCAGGAAAGGAAATGCTCTGTGTAATGCTCGGATCTCAATTCTGTGACAAAACCAAACGCAGGTGTTCCAGGTAACCTTAAAAGCAGCAGTTAAAAATAGGACTCGGTGCAGTATTGGGAGCCGAAACGCATTAACAGAGGACCCAAAATGCAACCGACAGCAGAACTAATCAGGACACACCATCAAGAAGGTGCTGTCTCACGTACGCCCTGCTTCCGGGCTTCCCACGAGCGGTCAGCCAGCCTTCGCACGGAGAATCCTGGGCTGGATGGAACAGGGCCTGATCCAGCAGGGCTCTGGATCAGACCCGAGGCCCCGCTCCGAAATCCAAACAAATCCCACAAAACTTGCCCGGCACCCAGCGGTTGGTGGCCTCGGACACCTAGAGGGCGGGAGGGGTTGTGTCGATCCAACCCCACCTCCCAACCTGGTTTAGGTCACCGGTGGTTCCCTCCAAGCCCACCTGCCTGCCCCAGATGTACCTGCTCGTTGGCTCTCTTCCAGAAGACGGCCAAGAGGAAGACGGCCGTGACTGGCGGGGCCAGGTAGCTGGTGACGGACTGGATGTAGACGTACAGCTGGCCGCCGCCGGAACTCTGCAGGATGGGAATCCAAGCCACGCTAGCCACCACCAGGACGACTGTGACGATCCTGCGGGGGTAGAAAAGGGCACACCGGCTCAGTTTTTTGAAAGATCACCCCTTTTAAACCTCCTGGCCCTTTGGCCAAAGTTCCAAGTTCCTGGGAGGAAGCAGGAGGCAGAAATGTTATCGATACAAAACCCGGGAGCCGTGGCAGAATATTACAGCATTCAGAATATTCCATTCCAGTCCGGTCCTCTATTTTTCTCCCAAATGATTGTTCAATAAGCTACGGAATATTCTCAGTCCTCATCAGGCTATCTGGGGGTCCCCAAAATGCTTTTTGTATTCCTACAGCTGTGGGTTTCTTGCTAATACTTCCGACGTGTGCCTGGATCATGCCAGCTTGCCCCATGGCCAACAATGCTCACCTCTGAGCATCCGATGGAGGGAAAATGGGAAGTACAGGCCGGGGGTGGGGGGGGGGAGTGCCTGACCCAGTGTGGCCCTGTGAGCGCTTACGCACACAACCACTCAGCAAACGGCAGCGCTAGGCAGCCCGGCTGAAAAACTGGTGCTTAAAGCAAGCCATGTGCATCAGACACGGTGCCAGGATTCCACTTTCTGCAGGGCAGGAAGCAGCGGCTCCCCCCACTCCGAGGGGCTGTCGATGCAAAGAGAAGGAAGAAGAAAGAATTCTGCAAGCCTGCAAAGACCCAGATGATAACCCGCTCGATTGCACTGCAGAGCTAACCTGCGCAACACACACACCCCTTTGGAAGTGATCCAGAGTCACCCTGGATTAGGGTTCCTCTGCATAAGTCCAAGAAACGAATTAAGAGGTCGAACTGGTTGTGGTGTGTGCGGCTCAGTCAGTGCTCCAACAGACAAGTCTCCTGCTTGATGACACAACGGAGACGTCTACTCGTGAGGAAGAGGCACCGTCAGTCTGCGGGGAGGCCATTCGCTCAGAGGCAAAGGGGTCATGCTGGGGCGAGGTTCCTTGCTCAGCAGCCTCAGAGCCGGGCTGCGGAGGGGCCGTCTGGGCACCGGGCCTCAAATATAAGTCCCCTTGTTCCAGTGCCTGATTCTCACTGTTAGCCCCTGCCTCTTCCTCACGAGTAGACGAGCCATCAGGCACAACACAAGAGACGACAGCACATCTGGACTTGCAGCGTGGTGTCTTTGGGCTGCCGGTCCTACAGACGGGGTCCAAGAACTTCCGGGAAGCCACCACAGATGGTGTACGAGAGGAGCGCAACACCACAAAAGCAGCCCTTTCCAAGGCAACACCAACGTGGAGGGCAACCCGACCAAATGAGAAGCAGCAGGCAGAGGCACGTCGTTCTGATAACCATTTATTTACACCTGAGGGCAAAAGGGAGCTGGTTAATTAAATAAAGAATTCCCTTATTTTCATAGCTGATTCTGGGGAGAACGAGTCTGCCCAGCTGTCAGGACTGCGTCACAAGGGATCGCTGTGCGGGAGACGGAGCTGGTCAGGAGAAGGTGTTCTCCGCCAGGCGAGGGGCTCCCCTAAGCCAGCCCGGAGCAGCCACCGCCTCTTTCCCAGGAGGCAGGGAAGGGAACTGTTGCCTATGGGGGATCCGTGGCTTCTCCTCTCCCAGCCTGTCGGTGCATGAGCATCGTCCCCTTCCCAGGGATGGAGAGAGAGTTGCTGCAGAATTTTCCAGAAGGGCTGGGAGGGGAGCCCCCTCTCGGATCAGCCCCTCCCAAAGCTAGAGCACTGTCCACAGCCTTTCCAAGGGAGACGGGTAATCTTCAGAATCTTATGCTCACGTTTCATAAGATGGATCTCATCATCTGAAGAATACATATGTATTTTAAACAATATTAAGGGATCTGTGAAGGCCCTCCAAAGTTTCCTTTCTTCCCAGTCCCTGAACTCATGAAAATGAATGGTGGACAATTCAGGAGCAGTCAATGGAAGTCTTGCTTCATTCAGCCCATAATTAATCAGTGGGACTCAGTGCCCAGCATGTGGTGATGACAGGTACTGAGGGCCAGAACAGGGATGCCGAGCCCCCGAGCAGGTGAAATTTATTAACAGCTACTGGGCTACTTCCAAGGCCAAAGATTATATCCAGTGGAATCACAAACAAATAGCACTTTTGCTTGCTGCTCAAAAATATGCATTACTTGTCACTGTGTAGGAGAATTTATCACTTCTCAGATGGTTTAAAAAGATCTGGGAACTTCACAAGGAGCTGCTAGCAATCTCAGCTTGATGGGATTACAGAGCAGTCTTTGTTCATTAGTCCTTGGGGTAATAATCATCCTGATAGTGTCTAAGGCTGGCGTTTGTCTTCACAATCGCAGGACTGACCTAGCAGGTTTGAGGGCTAAAGTATGTCTTGCAAATTTCGAGGTGATCTCTCTTGGATTGTTTTGGATCTTGATGCTCTTGGTTGTGCGACTAATTGTGTTGGTGGGGAGGAAATAGCGATGATACACAAAAATGAGGCGCTTGGTCCGGCACCGAATGGGGCGCAAGAAGAGGGAAGAGGGGGACGCGAGCATTTTAACTGGCTCTTCCAGCAAACTCCGTGGGCTGCCCCTGAGGGCAACCCGGCAAAGGTGGCCACAACCACAGAGAACGCGGTTCCGGCGCTCCGACGGGAGCCTCATCGATCACTTCCAAGAGTGCTCCCTGGCTTCAATCCACTAAACAAGCCCTCGGGATGAGTCACCCATCGGCTCCTCTTCTGACTCTCGCCCCTTTCTTTTCATCACCCTGGTGTTGCACAACCGTCCCGCAGGATGTCAATGCAGCCCGGTGTCGGTGTCGGTGTGGTGTCGGTGTCCTCAGGTGAGGCTGGAGAGAGGCAAGGGGTGAGGCTCCGGGGAGGAGGTGGGGGGAAGCGCAGCCTTATAAGGGAAACCTGAAGTCGGCTTCTTGCAAAGAGGAGCCTGGATGTGTTTTCCTTTCGTGCATATTTTCTCCCTGCGGTGACTGGGCAGGTCCCAGTGGAGCCAGCACCCCCCGGCATTCCTCCGTCGGATGTGAACAGAGAAGGTGGGGAAATGGGCAGGGACCAAGTGCCAACTCATGCGTCAAAATTGTCCGGGGTCAGCATTCAGGCCCTCTCTCCTCCCGCCCTCCATCAGCATCCTCAGCCCGTCAGTGTCAGCCAGGCAGGGCGGGAGGCAACATGAGGTCACCCTGAAAGGAGCAGCCACATCTGCTCGGAGAAACCCGTGGCTGGCACAGGATCCAGGATCTAAAAAGCAGCCATTTCAAGCGTCTAAGAAACGAAGCAACGGCGAGCAACGACAGGCGGGGGGAACCACTGAGGGAGAGAGCGGCCCCATGGGGGCTGAGAATGCCCCACAACTCTATTCTGTGGAATGACTCCTGGAGAGGAAAAACAGAAAGTCGTTTCCGTGTGTATGAGAAAGAGACAGACAGACAGACAGACAGACAGAGAAAGTGGGGTGCTCGGAGGGCCCTGGCAGAACCAGAGTGGCCCATTTCGGGAGGGAGGAGACACGGCAGCGTTTGGTTGCTGCCTCCAGTCTTGTCTCCCTCCCCGTTCTGTAAAACTGGTCCGGCTGGTCTGGTCGTCAGCCTTGAAATGTCGAGCTGCATGTGGAAAGTGTGCGCCGACTTTCCCTCCGATCTGCCAGTCCTTGTCAGGCTCCGCCAATCCCCACGCACGACCTGAGAAGAGGGAGATTCTGCACCCCCAAGCGAGATTCCACGGTCATCCCACCACCTGCTCCGAGCACGGTTTCTCCAGGTGGCGCTCGCCCGGGGGGCTCTGATAGCTGGGACCCCGTGGCCTCCCGTCAGGGCCCGGATTCTCAAAATGAAGCAGGAAGAAGCAGCGCTCTGTGAGCCTCCCGAGGGACCCCGTCCACCTACGCTCTTTTCTTTCGAAACGACGGGTTCGACCAAGGTGAGGCAAGAGGTCCCATCACTCCGGCCTCAACACAGGTCTCTTCTGGAAGCCGAAGAGAGCTCAGTGGGCCACGCAACTTCTCCAAACTGGGATTGTCCTCCTCCACCACTGCAGCTGGAAGAACTTCCTGCCTGTTGAGGGTGGCCACATCCTGGCGGAGAACTCATGCAGCACTTGAAACAGTTGTATGTTATAATTCTGTTTTAAGTTGCCGGAAGCCTTTTTCCAGGAAAGGCGTTTAAGCAATTTAATACATAAATAAATCAATTAAGCAACTGTAATCCTTCAGATAATAATAGCAACAGGGATAGTCAATAGGGCAAAGGAAACCTCACCTGTGCTGGGTTCTATCCAAGCCTGTTCCAAAGAGCCTTAAAAACAGGGGTCTTTGGCAAATTGCAGGAGAAAAGCAAAAACTCAGAACCTCGCAGGCCCTCCCGCCCCTAAGCCTTCCTGCGCGCTCCCCAGCAAATACCCATAACTGAAAAATGCGCCAACAGCTAAAATTAGCTAAAGACCACATCAAAATATCCAGCCTTTATGCAACACAGCATAATTGTCTTTCTGTCCTCCATTTTGGAGAGCTCTCGGGAAAGAGCAATCCTGTCTTTGAAGGTCCAGTTGAAAGCCCAGGTTCCCCAGAAAGTGTGTGCAGGAGCCTCAGATCTGCCCACTTCAGCTCCTGACTGTATCCAACACCCGTTTTACTCAAGTCCTGCTCGTTTCCACGGGCCTGCATTAGATGCAGCCTGTTGCAATTATGTCTGTATGAGCAACCATGGAAATCGGCAGATGCAAATTTTATGCAAAGCGGCATCCTGGGTTGCCTTGGCTGGTCATCTCCTCTTCTGGGGCAACACAGAGCTGGCCACCCTAAACCCAACAGGCCTCGCTTGGGCTCAGCCGGCAAGTGCGACCCGGAGCAGGACGGCCCGATCCCGGGTCACCCACGGGGCACGGCTGCCGCCGGGGATGTGAAAACGCACGGCAACGCACGGCACGTCATTTCGCATGCCCAGGGAACATGAGAAGACCGGGAAGGACAAGATGGTGTGCCGTGCCTTCCCTGCCGCTTTCACGATGGTTGTTGAACTGTGTTTTTTCTTTTCTGCCTTGTGGCAACTTGGGCTGGAAGAGCAGGGAGGAAGCGTTTTAAATAAAGAAACAAATCATTCCACCCTCACACAGCCAATAATAATTAAGGGCTTTACTTTTGCCCCAAGACATCTGCACTTCCATTAACTCACCCCTCCTTCTCCTCCCAATGGGAGTCACCGTTTATTTTTTACAGATGGGCAAACTGAGATACAATAAGATCGGGTCACATGAAACATCACCGGAATGCGGAAACCGACATGAGCCCTGACTCCAATCTTCTCTGCTGAACCGAGAGAGTTCTGCTTATGTTTTGGAAGATCCTCTTCCAGAGAGTCGTGCGCTACCCTGTTGCAACTGAATTTGTTTATCTGGGCAATGGAAGCTTTGCAATTTCAAGATGGCACCAACCCACAGAGGGACCGGATCGGCTACTGACTCACAGCCAAACGAAATATTGTGCAATTCCTGGGAAGTCAGATCATGGGCGGGCTCTCCAGCCGCCTTTCTTGCATCCCAAACTAGCATTCTAGCTGACAAGCAACTTCTCTCCCTCCCTCCCTCTGTTCACACATTGCAAGCAAATTGCCTGTCCCCAAAACATCAAAAGAAGAAAACAATTAAATGAGGCGTGTCCCGCCTCGCCAAATTCCATCCACCAGCTGGGTGCGCTCCTCAGGGGAGTGTCCCCGAACTGCAGCCTGAGCTGGGGACAAGGGTCACGCACGTCAGATAAGGCAGAGTCCCAAATTAAGGTAAACCATGCTAAATGTTGGGTAAAAAGGTGTGATTCCCAGACCCAAAACTGTCGGCCAGCCGGTGGCTCCGATTGGCTGAGCTGCTGTGACATCACGGAAGCATCTTGTCAGAAATGTTTGGGGCGAGGCTGCAGTGGGGAGCACGGAGGGGCTGCTCATCTCCACCTCTGGCACGAGGGGAGAGCTCAGCACCCTGGGCATCTGCTGCGCCCCCTCCGTCACATCATCTCAAAGTGCGGGGAGGGGAGAGGCACCGGGTGCGTGCGGCCGCTCTGGCACCGTGGGATGTCCACCATGCAAGCGCGCAAGGACGTCCTTCCCAAACTTGCCAGGGTATCTTTAGAACGCATCGCTCGTTCCCTTCAAGGCCACCGCGAGTGAACGCAGGCCAGGACGTGTGTCCATGTCCGGGCGAGCGCTGCGAGAGGACCGACGGCAAAAGGAGAAGGGGGCGGCAGAGGACGAGGGGGCTGGAAGGGGCCACTGAAGCCGTCGGCGTGAGCTTAGGCGGACTCCGGGGGACGGTGGAGGACCGGAAGGTCTGGAGGAGTGTTGGCCGTGGGGTCGCGATGGGTCTGGCACGACTTCGCGACTAGCAACAGCAAAGAAGGCCCGACAGAGCCCCACCAAGGTGGGTCAGCCATAGCAGGCAGGCATCCCACAGGTCTGCCTACAGCTGCTCCCAAGCACAGCCCAAATGGCCCATCACTCAGCACTGAACTCCCCGGAGGTGCAATTAAAGGCACGGCCCATCAGCCCTCCTTCAGCAGGCAAACACACGGGAGAGCCTGGCCAGGAGGATGAAGGTGCAGGAGGGCCCTTGCACAGACAGGTAAACCAGGCTGCTGGCGGGAATGATTCAGGAGACTGGGTGGACAGGAATTAAACAGGGGAAGTTATTCTCAGTACCTGGGTGGCGTGGTGAAAACAGAAGCAGAGCGAGTCAGAAGGGGCCTCCCGGGCCATCTAGTCTGACCCCCGGCTCCAGTCGGCTCCGCTCACGACTTGCCCGCCATGTGCCTGTCCAGCCTATCCTTGAACACCCTCCTGATGGGGCCTCAACCCCCTCCCTGCTCACACCCATTGAACATGGAGAGGAACAGCTGTGCATTCCCTGGCGCATTCAAACGCACAACGGAAAGGTGGAAGCGGGGGCCTGCGAGTCACTGGGAGGGGATTCCGCCCTCGCCCGCTTCCGGGAATATTCCTGTGCACCGCACGCTCCTTTCCCACCTGGTACCTTCCAACCAGGAGCAGCTCCTTCTCGCCGGCCTCCCGCCGGACCTTCCTCCAGACGTCCAAGGTGAAGAGGGCACTGCTGCTGTTGAAGACGGACGTCAGCGAGGACATCAGCGCCGCCATCATCGCCGCCATCATGAGACCCCGCAAGCCTGGGGGCAAGACCGCTGCGGGGTTGGCCCACATGGGAGAGCCTTCCCGTCGCTGAGCCCCGCCTGGCAGGCCCCGCTCACGGCCCGAGGAGGGGCTTAGGGCCCGTGTCCTCCCCAGATGGCCCATCTCGCCCCGTCAGGCCGGGGGCGGAATGCTCAATACAGCCGCCTCCGAGGCCCCCCCATGCGGACCGACCCCCGTGGGGATGAGCACAGCTGAGAGCCCTGGAGGCACGAGCGCTCGACCCCATTCACACTGGGAGACGTCCACGCCGATCCCCCCGTTCGCGACGCCTCGGTTATCCGCTCCCTCTCAGGAAACGCCAAGGCCACGCCGGGGGCCTCCTGCTCCTCGTTGCCGGCAGCCCAAGCAACAGAACCAACACAGGGGTGGGACTGGAGGGCCGCGGGGCGTGACTGGGCTAGCGTTGCCCACCGACCCCGCTCAGCTTACCGCTGGGCATGAGCTCAGTCACCAGCTTGGGGTACGCGATGTTGGAGCAGCCCGCTTCTGCCCCGCAGACTCGGGCGCATTCCTCGGGGTCCACGCAGCCAACGGCATCTGAAAGAGGACGGGAAACGGTCCGTCTTCAGGCTCCTGGCCACGTGGCAGAGCCGGCCGCGGGGGATGCCGGGAGACCCAGGGCTGGCCCCCAAAGCTCACGTTCACCCCTGAGGCCGGCAACCCGCACGTGGGATGGGGACTGACGGGAGCGGCCCAAGCCACGTCCCTGCCTCCCTCCCGTGCTGTGGCACCTCTTCTCGCGGCCCGTCACGGGCTCCCAGGTGAGTGCGAAAGGCAGGTGCAGCTGGGCACCCACCGGGGACCCACAACCCAGCGGGGCCCACTGGCCAGGGCCCCTGGGGGTTGCTTCTCCAGCCCCCCGGCTCGCCTGCCACGTGCTCTGGGCCAGACAAGGGTGGTGGTGGAAAGGAGGAGCAGCGTGGTGGATTTGCTCCCAGGCAAGCAAATGGCAGCCGCGGCGAGCAGGGAGTGGAGCCAGAGCAGCGGGTGCGAAGGCTGCGCCCCAAGGGAAGGAGCACCCCAAAACCTGGAGCCACCACCCCCAGCTCCATGCACCCCGGGCCCAAATGTCCCCCTTTTCATCCCCTGTACAGTCGCCGACGGAGTCAGATTTCTTAATGGGCCGAGGAGAATTGCATCCCGTGTGCGCAAGTACGCATCGGTGCGCACACACTTGCACAAATGCACATTCACACACCACCCGCCTGCAAAAACAACGTGCTTTGAAAACGGCAGGCACGAGTCCGGAAAAGGAGGACGTGCTCTGGGATCTGCAGCCGGTCCACGGAAATCCGCCCTCGGCGGCGCCCATTCCTCCGACAGGAATGGGGGGGTGTGGGGGGCGCCCCGTGCGGGTTGCGCCGCCGCGCAAAGGCCATTGCGCACAGCGGGCGGGCTTGACGCGCAGCGAACGAGCCCCCCGCGGGCGCGCCCCCCTCCGGAGGCGCCCCGGCCCCGGCCCCGCGCCGCGCGCGCCGTGAGTCAGCTTCCTGCCCGCGCGGGGCCGCCCCGGGCAGGCCGGCATGTGACCGCAGGTGGGGCGAGGAGGAGCGAGCCGCGCGGCCCGGCTCGGCCGGCTCCTCGCCCCTTTTCTCCCCGCCCTCCCTCCGCCGAGCCCATTTCGGGCTGCTGCGCGCCGGCTGCCGGCGGAAGCCTCCCCGCGCCCGGATGCCCGGCGAGCTGCGCAGGGAGCGCGGGGCGCAGAGAGCCGAGGAGGATCGGGAGGGCGCGCGGGGCGCAGAGAGCCGAGGCAGAATCGGGGCGGCCGCCCGGCCCTGGGGCCCCCGAGCCGCCGCGGAGCCCCCGCGAGGGGCGCTGAGCAAGAGCGCGGCGCCGATCGCCTGCCCCCGGCCGCCGCTCGCGACTCCCTTCCGGCGCGCGTCGGGACATTCTCCTCTCGGTGCTCCTCGGGGGAGCTGGAAAGGAAGACGTGGAGGCGGAGAAAACCGGCCGCGTGACGACTAGCGAGTGGGAACCGGGCGAGGGAAGCCGGCTTCAGCTCGCCTAAAACTTGGCACGCCCGCAGGCCGCAGGTCTGCTCTTGCTCCTTTCCGAGGGTTTGGGCACAGCAGGAGAGCCGGGAGCTTCTGCAGCCCATCCAGGCTTCGGGCTTCACTGAGATGAGGTGACAAAGGAACGCAAGAGACTGAACTCATCGTCGGAAGGAGTCGGGGAACCTTATCTTCTTTTAAAAAGAGGGAATAGTTTGGAACGAATTGCAGAAAAGCTACGAGGAGCGAGACTTTTAGCGGCTGCTTGTCGCACTCAGGGTTAAACGCTAAATTATTTCTTTAAATAACGTTATTCTGGTATTTATTATTGGTGGACACACTTTTTTTTTAGACGCGAAGCATGGCTTTTTCTCAGGTGCAGTGTCTGGACGACAACCATGTCAACTGGCGGTCGAGCGAGTCCAAGCCAGAGTTTTTCTACAGCGAAGGACAGAGGTTGGCTTTGGAAGCCCTGGTCTCGAGGGGCCCGGAAGCCTTCTACGAGGTCCTCAAAAAGGAGAACATCCGGGACTTCCTTTCGGGGCTGGAGCTCCAAAAGGTCTTGGATTCCCTGGAGACGTACGACCCTGGCTCAGAGTTCATCCCGCGTGGAGACGGGCCCCTGGACCTCAACAGCCCCGGCAGTGAGCCGGGCCCCGTGCCGTCCTCCGACTACTGGCCGGAGAGGTCCGATCGCTCCATTCCACAACTGGACCTAGGCTGGCCCGAGACCGTCGCCTACCGGGGAGTGACGCGGGCCACGGTCTACATGCAGCCCCCCATCGACTACCAGCCCCACATCAAGGAGGTCGTCCGCAAGATGATCTTCCAGGCACAGAAGGTGAGAGAGGGCCGCGGTGCCGCAGTGTCCGCGTGGGTCTGTGCGGGAGGTAGAGGACCCCTTGCCCAGCGGAAGCGCCTCGCGCACCACCAGCCTCCGTGGAGCTCGGCTCCTTGGTGAGCGTGTGCGTCTGTTTATCGCCGATCCCCTCCTCGGTGCCAGCGAGGGCACTGATCCGATCCCCCGGGTGGGGGAGTCAGGGAGGGACGGCGGGCAGGGGCCGTTGGTCAAAGGCTGCCGGGCTTGTTCTCAGGAACGGCTCGTGAACTTTTTGGTGGCCCTCTGGGCCGCTGATGACCCGGGCCGGCGAGTCGAAGGAGCTGCTGTGCAGGGAGCAGGTTCGCCCCAGCTTTGCTTGGGGCAGGCGGGCGTTTCCACCCTGGCTGTCCCGTCAGCAGAGGAATTGGCACCTGGGCCCAAGAAGCCCCGGGGGGGCACGGAGGCAGCACCCCTTTCCCCGAGTCATCCTTCGGGGTTCCCATTCACCGGAGAGGGGCAGCTTCCGCCTGGGGAACCTGCGCCCCATCACTCCAAGGGTGAGCCGTTACGTGGTGGCAAGAGACACTCTGCGCATGCTCAGCAACACTTTCTCCTCCACTAGCATTTGCACACTCCCAGCCAGAACCCTCTGCCCACAGAGCAGCTTCCAAGCTTAAACACTGGTTACGTGTAAGCCGCCCATCTATTTTTATTTGTTCTCTGGAGCGGGAGCGGCTCTGCCTGCCACCGTGGCTGAAAAGAGCGTGGAACAGAAACGCCAACTGTATAAAACCGGGCCAAAGCACAGGAGGAAGGGCGGCATTTTGCTCCCGGGAGTCCTTCCCGCCCTTGTGTACCGCCAGAAAGAGTCGGTGTGGTTCAGCAGCCGCAGGCGACTGGCAATCTCGCTTTCCCATCTGTGAAATGGGAGTAATTCTGACCTACTTCACGGGCCGTTGCAAGAAGGAACAAGCCAAAGGCTGCTCATTAAAACCCTACATAAACCGTAAACAACCATTTCGATCCAGACGGCAACTGCAGGGAGCCTTCCAGGGCCGAGGTTTCGCTGATAAGGTGCTTTCAAAGCTCCCTTCAGTCCCAGCCGCTGCCGCCTCCCCCACAGCAAACAGTTTCACCCGGGATTAAAAGGGGGAACTTGAGACCAGAAGCCGCCCGCCTCTCCTGAATCATCGGCAGCCCGACGCGGGTGGCTGGTGCTGCATCGCCCGGCCGCGCAGATCACCTCTTTCGAAAGAGCCACTTTGGACCCTCGGCTGCCCGTCCTCCCGGGCCGTGAGGAAATAAACGGCAAGGGGCGAGACAGGCTAGGATGTAATTAATATTATTATATCGAATTCAGCATGATAGACGAGTGCAGGGGTGGAAAATGAGGCCTCCCAGCTGCGGGCTGCCAGCATTCGTGATGGGCATGTGGCATGCAGGGTGTCCCTTTCCGGCGTCACATCCGGTCCTCGCACGGCAAGGACCATCTTCTCCCTTGCGGGCCATCAGTGGGCGCTGGCCCGGGAAGGCTTCTGGCCCAGTCCGTGCAGAAGCTCTGGAGAGATTCGTGGGCCCCGCTTTGAGCCTTCAACTACAGCTAACTAAACCAGACGGAAGAATTAGATGGTCCTCTGGCCCAGCCTCAAAGCCGTTCCCGTGATCTGACCGGAGAGTTCAAACGGTTGCCCTAGATTATCATCTTTCCAGGAAGTGCCAATGGCCCGTGATTAGATCTGCTCCGGATGACCTGCTTGTTTTGTCCTGCTGAAAGGATGGCGGGCTTCAGGGCCTGCGTCGCAGGCGGGCAGGCTGGGTGTCTTCCCAGGTCCCACACAGCACGCCCTGGGCTTGCTCCTCCTCTTCCCTGGGTGGCCTGCTGGCTCGCCGGCCTCTCGCGCTGGCCCAGGCCGCCGAAGGGAACACAGGAGGGGAGCCCAAGGTTCTGGCAGGAAGGCCAAGAGCCAGCAAGCCACAGACGCCCCGGCCTTTTGCCCTCGGCCTGCCGAGCAAGCGAGAGGCGGCACGGTGAGCCGGTGGCCCGGGGCGAGAGCAAGTGACTGGCAAGTCAGGGCGCCCGCGAGGCAGTCTTGCTCAGGACCCCCAAAGCAGGAGACCGCACGGGAAGGCTCCATCAGCCGCGATTTGCCGTCTGAAAAGGGGCGACTGTCCGGCCCCGGATACCTCGCCTGCTCCGGGCGTGACTCGGCCAGGAGCTTCGGCTTCGCTGGCAGGGCGGGCATCGTGCGTGGAAGCCGGCAGATCTCCGGGAAGGCCTCGCCTTCCGAAGTGAGCGCCAGAGGGCAAGCCTGCACGACGGGGCCGACAGACCTTTCCAGGAGTTCGCAGCTTCACAGGGCAGGAAAGGAGTGGGCATCTTGTACTCTCTGCCTGAACTAAAGACCCCGAACGGGTAGTGGGGTGGGGGGAATCCTGCACCCTCCAGAGCAGCTTGTTCCGAGCCACGTGACTCGGGCTGTCCAGAACGCCTCGCTTGCCATCCTCTCGGCATCAGCAACTGTTCCCATCCTCCACTTGGTCCAGGGTGCGCTCGCTTCCTTCTCCCTGTGGCCAGAAGATCCAGGCCTCTTCCTGCCCAGAACTGGTGCCTCCTACAGAACGCCTCTGGCAGCGTCTGCCATACCCCTCGAAGCCTCTTGGGGTCCAGCAGTGTGCGCCCCTCGCAGGCCAGCGGGGCCAGAGGCCAGGCGAGAGAGCAGAGCAGAGCAGGGGCGTGAGCGCACACGCGTGCGATGGCCTCACGGAGAACAAATGCAGAAGAGTCGCACGGGCGGCATGCCGAGCCGAGCGTCCCCAGCAACGTGGGCATCTCCAGACGTGAAGGATTCTCCAGGACTCATGAGTCGCGGAAACAGTCTGGGCGTGAAAAGTTCAGGGGGAGGCTGTCCCTGCTTATCAGTTGCCAGGAGCCGTGGCAAGAGGGAACCCTCGACCTCGGGTCCGGGCTGCGGAGAGATCTCGGTTGCTACGGGAAGGAGGATGCTGGCCTCGACGGAGCGCGGGCGTCAGGGCTGGTGCCGGCACGAGGCAGTAGGGCACATTCTCCCGCTTTGCCACCCCAGCCCGAATATGACCCCCGATTCCTTCCGCCCCCTCCAGGGGTCTTGCGAGAACACTGGACATGGCCAAAGTCATGCCAGATTTCGGCTGCATCCGGTGAAATCTTCCAGGAGCTCGGCCAGGTGCCAAGACTTTGCAGGAGCCCCACAGCACCTGAGCTCCCGCATGCCTCTTGGTCGCGGCCAGTCAAGCTCCTAGGTCCTTCCTCTCTTGTGTTTGTCCACAGTCTCTTTAATATACATACATGTATCGGCAAATGTCACTCACATCTGCAAGAAGACATACCCACTCATCTGCTAATGACTTCCTGCCCTCATTAAATTCGGGAATGCAAATGAGCGATGCCACCCAATACTCCAGTGACCCAGCCTGCACTGGCTTCTGTCTTGACTTCTTCTCTCCAAATGCTCTTAATTTATTCTTATTCTTTTCGAACCAACCATGCAGCCCAGCTCAAAGCAAAGCGTAAGTCCCAGAGATTCATAAACACAATTAGAAATAGAAAATGTACTATGCAAGTGTCCAAAATGTGATTCGATTGTTGCCGGATACGTGAACCGTTTAAAATTACTATTACTTGGCAAGCAAAAAAGAAAGAAAGAAAAAGTGAAGCATTGAAAAGGCAAGTTACAAATTAGGATGAAAATACTAAAGTGAATAGTGTGACTAATTTAAGGTAAATGAATAAATAATACAGGTTATTCATGTTGCTGTTAAGCAGAAAGACACTCATTTGTTTTGCTGAGCAACCTTTAGACACAAGCACATTCCTCTTGCTCTGTTTCTTAGAGAGGCGGTGCAAATTTCCTGCTTTCTAGATGAGGTGGAAGTTCCCCAGAGATTCTGAAAGGGCACGCGTGCTTCCCGGGTCCAAGGCTAGCTGGCCGAGTGCCAGATGGGCTTCCCTGTCTCACCCAGCTGTGATTGTGCCCTTTTTCCAGCTTCACTGATTAGCCATCTGCTACCTGGGCTGGCAGCTTCGTGCCCCAGGATGTGGAACCCGGAAAGGGCTTTGTTCACTGCCTGACTCTTGGGAGACCTTAGGACAGCTCAAGAACATGCCCTCTGCACATGCTTCAGAGTTATAACTGGCTTCAAACATGGCGCAGGTGCTACTAACACTGTCTTAGACACATCCCCGGTAGTCAAGAAGTCAGATAATTTTTGCATGCTCTGCGCATCTTATGCATGTGCCGGCTGGGGCTACTAGGAATAGAGGCAGCTGAAAATGTGCAAAGCTGTCGTGGGCACCGCCACAAAATGGCTACCACGGAAGGCATGGCAAAGGATAGGTAGGCTGCCCGAAAGACGGCGTGCAAGGTGGAGGTGGGGTCCAAACCCAGGCGCGTTAAACAGCTCCTTCAAGCCCCCAGCTTTCAGCACCAACGGTGCTTTGCACCAAGCACAGGTGCCTGTCATAAAAAGGTGCTAACAGGAAGGTAATTTGGGAATTGGACAGCTTGGCACGAGCCAGGAAAGGGATCTGGGCAGACAGGTGCCACTGCGAAGGACGGGGCCCACACCAGCCCCGTTCCTTCGCTTGCTCACAGCACTTTGAAAGCAGGTTTGCGCGCACGCACCTGCCTCAGTGGCACGGCTCTCAGGCCTAGCAAAAGTCACTTCGGGCAACTTCCTGAGCATTTGAAGGATCTTATTTTTCCAGAACTTTTCCTATCCTGCCTCCTCACCTTCCATTTCCCCTGCTTCACCTCACAAGATAAATGTTCGACTCATAGCTGAACCACTGAGAAGAAAAACCCGCGATGTACCGCTTGGCTAATGCGTCTTCTTTTTCTTACTTCAGTAAGTCTGTTAGAAAACTATGGTGAGATCGCATGTTTGGCTTGGTAGCACAAGGCCCAGCTGGAACATCCTCTGTGCATCTCTTGTCTTCTCCTCCTTGGAGGGTTTTAAAAACCCACACTTTTATTTGCTGTGGCAAGAAAACAGACAGAAGCAGCAATGGGAAAGCAAGAGAGGTTTAGAAGTGAAAAACGGTGCTGCCGGGCTGGAACCCCCATCAAATTCCACAAAACGGGGCAGGGAAGTTGCGCAGCAAATTGTCTGAATGCACCTTTTGTGTGCACAAGAGAGGATGAGACAGAGGGCAAGCACGCAGCTTTTGTTAGGTTAGATCTTGTTCCAACGGAAATTAGACCTCCCCGTTTCCGACAAAAGGGAGTCCATTTATGCCTGTTTTGGCATCCAGCTAGAAACAGGAGCGGGGAAACCTCCTGTGACTCGCAGCCCATGTGGTCCTGCTCCGGAAGCGACAGCACGGAGCCAGAGCGCTCCAGAAAGCACAAGCCACACGTGTGAGGGCAAAGTCCTCCGCTGAGGTCACCCTTTAGTGCAGAACACGCCTCATCTCCGACCCGGTCACCCCGCAGAAGGATTGCGTGGCGCAGATCGCCACGGCGGGGTGCAGAGACCTGCCGGAGCCCCGTTTGGAGAAAGGAGCTGGTGCCTCAGGGAAGCTCTGGCCGCGCACCGACACAGGCAGGGCTGCTTGTGAACCGACCCTGTGACGCTGCCCCGTACAGAACCAGCCCCTGGATCCACCTAAACCCCGATCCTATACTTGACCGGCTCCGGAAGGAAGTTTCCCGGCTCTGTTTATTACAGCCTGCCCGCCTCCAGCCCTCCCCGGCACACGCACAGAGTTTGCTGTTCCCTCGAACCTGGCACCACCCATGACCCATTAGCTGTTGACGGATTGGTGTCTGGCTGTTTGCTCTGAGAAGGCCAAGCTGGCACAGGTGACTCCTCTCCAAGTTTATCCTGACAACAGTGGCTTTCAGAGGGCACTGGGGGAATTAATGGAGCAGGCAGCTATCAGAGGATGCTAGTCCTCATGGCCCTCTGCTATGTCCAGGGTAAAGGTATTATGCCCAAATTCCGCAGTTGCTGGGGAACAGGGGCAGAACATGGGATCTAACCCTGTGTTCCTGGATGCACAGCAGACAAAAGGCTTCTAAAATGGTGGGAAGGGAGGCAATTTAATGCTCAGTCTCTCTCCTGAACTGGTTTTAAAAAGAAATTGGGAATAATTGTTGATTCTTCTTCCTTCCTCCAAGTCTTTCATAAAGGACCTGGAAGGAATCTAAACTTTAACCGTATTATGGCCCTCTTGTTTCTAAACATCTAATCCATCCAGAAATGTCGCCCGACGGCATATTCTGAATACCCAGCCAGTGTTTTGTGTTCAGGGAAGAAAAGCTCAGGAAAGGGGCCTAGAATCTGTACCAGAGGCAGGCAAGCTTCAGCTGGAAGAAATGATATTTGATCGTGGGAAATAGGCAGTCTTATTTTGCTATTCAAGAGGAAAACAGGCATGGTGGAATACAAGCCGTCCTTAGCTGTTGTCCAAACAGGCAGGTCCCCATGACCACCACCCACCTTCTTGGTGGCGGCCCCCTGAGTTTGTGGGATATTCTAGTCAAAAGGATGAAACAGACTATTTCCCCCATTTTCAGGCAGGTGCCAAACCCACCTTTTCCCTCTGGAAGTAATTTTGTAACTAATGTCCAGTTTTAATGGCAAATTTGTTTTGGCTGCTGTTGATGCATTTATGTAAGTAAATCTGTTGTTCTGGTGAGTTTTAGTGCAAGCAAAATCTCTTTTAGTTGCTTTCTCACCGTAAGCTGCTTTGAGAATTTTTCTGAACTTGGGCTTTAACTAACCCCAGATAAACAACGTGACAGCAAAGAATCCGGCCCTCGCTCGGATCCTGGCGATCCAGGTCTGCTGTTGGTGTGGTGCCAATTCTCCAAGCGATGAAAGAACCAGGTGTGGTTCCCTTGGAAACCGATCAAGGCAGACTTGTGGGCGTTTCGTAATGTTTGCCCTAATCTGTTTGCCCTGGACTGAACATCGGTGGGTTATGGACGCCTTCCCCCCAAAATGCATCACTCCCAGCCCTGTGGACCTTCCCCACATTAGCCAGAAGAGTGCTAGAAGCAACCTGGCTAAGACCCTGACTCAAAACCAGACGGACGGCACAGAGGCAAGCGCCGCTGTCTCCCAAGCCACCAGAAGCCGGGGCCTCCACACGAACAAGGCAGCCTGAGCAGCAGAAGCACGGTCCTGTTGATCTAACTGGGTTGGTTCAGCCCTTTCAGCCTTGCTGACGACGGCGAGGCCCTCTCCAGTCGTCTCCTGCGCTGCAACCTCGCGCTGCAGCCTTTCACCAAGGCTGCGGCATGAGTGTGGTTGTGTCCCTACAGCAGCCCAGGTTTTTGAGAGTGCGGCTGCTGCTGCTGCTGCTCCTCCTCCTCCTCATGGCCCCCTCTCGCGTGCTGGCCAGGCGGAGAGCTGGGAGCACCCCCTTCTCCCCACCTCGGTGGTCTGGGCCCGGGAAGCAACACACAAGCCAGTCCACCAACGGCCAGGAGGGCTCCGGCTTTGGGGAGAGCCAGAAACAGGCAGACTCCTGGTAACAGTGGGGTTTCGACCCACAGAAATGTGGCTTTCAGACCCGGCGCTTTACATTCTTCTCAGGAGAGGGTGGATGAATAAATATCCCCCAGGAAGAGCTGGGCTGGGTGGCAGCAAAGGCCCTCTGGCCCAGCGTTCTGTCTCCGCCGAGGCCAGCCAGTGCCCCGGCTGAGAGGTCCACAGGCCGTTCCGCAGCACCCCGCCGCCCATGCTCCCCAGCAGGTGGGAGACGTGGGCATACTGCCTGTGATCTGCCCCCTGGGGCTAACCAGCAGCCGTCGTCTCCCGCCAGCCCCTTGATGCACGGCACCACACGAGCGAGGAAAGCTTCTCCCGAGCCGCGCTTTCCACGCGAGGCACACGCGTTGACATGCCTGCCACGGCCCTCCGCTCATGCCACGGTGTGCCAGCCTCTGGCCCGCTCGCTCGCTCGCCCCTTCTGGCACCCTCCGCAGCCTCACAGTCGCCTTCTGGAGGCGCGGTGGCCCAAACAGCGCCCGGTGGCCCAAGTCGGGTTGCGCAACAGAACATGATTACTGTTAATAATAAACGGCTTAAGGATGGTGGTGACATGAGCCAGGCAGAAAATTGCTCGGCTTCAAAGGCAGGAAAGGCGGCCAGTCGTGAGATCGGTGTCGAGCGGCTCGGCCCGATCGCGCACAAAGCCCTTCGGCTCCGTGGAGTGCCTCGGTTTCCCAACCCGTCCAATGTAGGTCATGCGGCTTCATCACTGCCTCCCACGGAGAGGAAGCGATGCTCCCTTAATTGCCGGTTTGCGCACAGCCCGTCTGTGATCCTTGGAATGAGAGTCTGCGTGTTCGCTGGGCTTACTTAAAAACAAACAAACAAACAAACCATGGAGAGAGCAGGGCGGCGGATCGCGCGGTGGATCCCTCCCGCGTTAAGCGCTGGGAAAGCCCGCGGACCTCAGTGAGGTCCATTCTCAAGGGAAGATCATGCAGGCGGGGGCAGAAGGACGGGAGTGGGCAGCTTTCTTCTGTGCCCCAGAAAACTGCCGCCGCATTTCAAGTCCGACGGCAAGAAAGGGAAGTCATGCTGCCGTCGTACGAGGCCAGCCCCCCTTTGCAGGAACCATGAGCAAAAATGATTTGAGAAAGAGGAAGAATCGTCACGCGTCAGAATTCATTTCTAAAGACGGATGATAGAATTATGTTGCTTTTATAGTGCAGGTTTTTACCTCTTGCCGGCAACCCAAGGGGGCTTGCATGCCCCTCTTTGACTCCCCTTTACCCTCACAACAACACGCCTGTGAGGTAGGTTGGGCGGAGAGGAAGGGGCTGAACCCGACTCTCCCAGGTCCCCAGTCTGGTGCGCTAACCATTACGCTATGCTGCTTGGAAAAGGGGCAGACCCAGGTCCAAGCCCCGAGGTGGACACGATACCCGCTGGGTGGCCATCAGCCTCTTTCTGACCAGCCTGTTTCACAGGGTTGTCTGGCTAGAAAGAATCACATCCTCCACAGCAGTATCCCCCCACCAGGTGTCCTCCAGGTCTGGGTGACTACAATTCCCAGCATGCCGAGCAGTGCTATTCCTAGCCATGGTGGCCAAATGGAACCTCCATATTCAAGGGCAGTGTACCTTTGACTACCAAATGCCAGGGGGGAATGACTGCGCCAGCCCATGGCCCGTTTGGGAGCTTCGGAGAGCCTGCTGGTGGCCGGCCAGCCGGGCCAGCTGGGAGCAGGAAGGCGGAAAAATGACACCCTCCACCTGGGAGGGCTTTGCGGGGCGCTGCCTTTGCCTCTCAATATCCCACAGAAGCGAGGGCTGTCGCCACATGCCCTGCCCGAGCGTGTGCTTGCATGCGGCGAGCTTACGTAGTCCCAGCCGTCTCGCCAGCCACGGATATTCACGCCAAGATGTATTTGGGGAGGGGAAAAAGACGGAGGAGAAAAGAGCTCTACTGAAACAGGCTATGCACAAAAGCGGCAGACTTGCCCGAGCCCCGCAGAAAGGCGGCCTTTTCCCACGTGGCAGGGGCTCGGTTCCAGCAGGTCAGAGCGGCTTCCGCCTCGCCCAGCTGCGAAGGGCCCCTTGAGTAGGCGACGGGCTGAGGGCGTCTCAGGAGGCCCGGTGCCCGCCGCTTCCGGGCCCTGGGACACGCCGGGCATGCATCCCGCAGGTGGACGCAGAACGGCCCTCCGAGCGTCTGCAGGCGGCCAGTCTCGCCCCGTTTCCCCCACGTGCCCGTCGGCCGGCGGTTTCCCGGCCGGAGTCCTGCTTTGCCTCTGTTCTGAAAGGCCACCAAGCCCTTCGTCCCGGACCGGAAGGGCTATACCTTGCCAGCGTTGATGCTTAGCGCCTGTCCCTTCTGCCTGTTGCCCTGCTCACCTCCAGAAAGCACCCGCTGCCAGGTGGAGGGGGGGCCCAGCCTGCCTGCGCCACGTCATCGCCCTCCCCTAACGCCTCCCTCTGTTCTCCCCGCGTCCCCCAGGTGGTGGCCGTGGTCATGGACATGTTCACCGATGTGGACATCTTCAAGGACCTCCTGGAGGCCGGCTTCAAGCGCAAGGTGGCCATCTACATCATCGTGGACGAGTCCAACCTGAAATACTTCCTCCAGATGTGCGAGCGAGTGCAGATGCATGCTGGCCACCTCAAGGTAACACGAGCCCCATGCCGAGCGGTCGCCCCGTTGCAGTGCTGGCGAGCCAGGGAAGGAAGCAGAGAGACCTGCTTCCAGGCAAGCCGGTCGCGGGCAGGAGAAAGAGCCTTTCCCAGATGCCGTGCCCTTCGCACAAGAGGGCAGAACTCTCCATCCCTGTGTGTCCATCCGGAAAAGTTCTGGGTTCTGTGCGGAGCCCCCCCAGTGCTAGCTCTTCCCAGATGCTCCGAAGGAATACATATTTATTATAAATGTATTTAGGGGTTTCATGTCCATTCCCAGCAACAGCCCTGGCAGGTAGGTGGAAGGGCTGTGTGTATGCCAGATGCACACAGGAAACCTGCAGTGTGTCGTACTAAATTCAGTTTCCAGAAATGCTTGACTTTCATTTTCAAACAAAACACCGACACAAGTTTCTAGGCCTCATGAATGTGGAGAGACGCTCAGAAGTGTGTGAGTCACGCCAAGACAGATCGCACAAGTGATAGGAAAAGATAGTAGGGCTACATGTTGAACGGCACAATGTCGCGTCGGCATCCCGCAAAGTCTCATGAAAAAGGTGTGACGACGGAGACAGGGAAACCTCATCCAGACACAGCCAGTGCCTCCTTGTCAGAGAAAGGAGCCCTTTGCGCTGAAGCACCCGCTGATGAGCCGACCGAGGGATTTTTGAGCCGGGAGAGATTTCGGCCCGAAGCTCCTCTTCCCAGCCCCTGTCCCCTGTCGCTGGCCGTGCCTCCGCTCTGTCAAAAGCTCAGTGGTGTGTGGCCACAGTCACGGCGCACAGACATGCGGAACGCGGCCCCCTGTTGCTTTGCCCGCTTGCACATCACGTGCTTGTGGTGCCAGAGCCGAAAGCGTTCACGCGGTTTCATTTGTAAGGCCACCAAGTATCATGTTTATCATCCAGGGTTAAAGTACAACTCGAGCACGGACCTGGGCTGCAGGAAAGAGGTGTTCTCCACACAAACCCTGCCCAGAGTCCAAAACTGCATTTCTCAGGAAACCAGAAACGTTACACCTTTCCTAGGAAATAATTAAATCCGGTTGGCTCCCGGGAAGGGGCCCAGCAATGGGAGGATCCTTCATCCCAGGAGGTCAACGGAAGCCCACTGTTTTGCAAAACCTGTCCGTTCACCCAGCTGTTCTGGAGAAGTAGGAGTTTCCCTTGAACACAGGCAGGGCGCTTTGTCTTTAAGAGCCTCGTTCATGGGGAGAAAACCAGCTGGCCGAACCTCTGGCCACCACTGCCTCTCCAGGCTGTGATTGGCTGCAAGACAGAGTGGGCAAGTCTGTCGGGCTAGCTCTTGCCCATATTCTAGATTTTTTCTCTTTGGATCACAGGTTGCTTCCATCCTGTTTATGCAGACACGTGCAGAGTTCTTCTCGAGCGCTGCCTGCACGGGCAGGAATGAAGAGGCCCGGCCATTCTGGGCACACGCCTGCCCTCCAAATGTTAAAGCCGAGGAGCGCAAGCACAGCTCATTCACGGGGGTCCCAGCTAAGCCCTCGGCGTCTCTGGACAAACTTGCCAACTTCCATTTCCCCCACACTGGCTTCATCTTAAATTTGAAATTCTCTCACTCTCAGATAAGAAGAAACCTGCACATTTTGGTGAATGCATATCAGAACCAAAATGAGATAAAATTCTCACCCATGTGCACCAGCCAAAATCAACAGGTGCAGCTACTCCCGGGATGGAGAGACCCTGATGCTTGAGTATCTGTTGAGAAAGAGACACTTTCTCAAGTGGGGAGCCTGAGCCAGCACAGAGATGGCTGAACATGGCGGGATCCACAGCCAGACCTTTCCCCAGAAAGCACTCCAAGCCCTGGGCCCAGATGGACAAATTTGTCCGCCTCCGGTTCTCCAACAGCCAATGCTTTTTCTACTCCCAAGTCCTTCCCTTCCAAATAAGACGGAACGTCAAAATGTTGGCAAGCCCAAGATGAATCGGGCAAAATCCTCAGCCTCCCTTGGTTCGACGCAACCCCACCACCCAAAGCTGCCCGCCTCTGAGTCCCACTTTATTTCCCGTGGAAGAATTCAGGCCGCCCTTCAGGGTGCAGCCCCCACGGTTGCCGGAGAGGGCTCCCGCCTCTCGCGGTCCCAGCCGTGGGTTTCCCCGAGGCAGAAAACCAGACTCCGCACCGGAGAGAACCTTTGCTCACGGTGCTGCGCTCGCTTCACCCGAGTTCCCGTGCAAAGGATGCAGACGCGGCCTCGCGTCACGGCGCTGCCACTCGGCAGGCTCCAACAAGCAGGCGCACAGGCCCACGGCGTGCCCGCTCGGGAAGCCCTATCAGGGAGCTCAGCTATCAGGGAGAGTGTTTGCCAAATGATTCAGCCCCTGCAGAAGCAAGGGCCGCTCTGGGGGTGTTTTCGTGTCTGCTTGGCCTCCTATTGGCAGATCAAGCAAACAGCTCTCGGCCAACCAAGTCAGCTGCGCAAGGACGCAAGCTGGACTTTGCTGCTGCAACGGCTGGTTGTGTTGTTGTTGCTGTCGGGGGTTGCTCTGGTAGGCAGTGTGTTACCTGGAGAAGGCCTCCAAAGCTCCTGTGTGCTCTTGATTGGGGTCAGGGCCCAGGCAGAGCCGTGGGCTGAAGCGGGCTCTCCCGGTGACCCCGCAAGGTCGCACGGCCAGGCCGGCCGCTCTCGAGCACGGGTGCCTCAGCCGGGTGGCATCTGGCACGGGACGGAGGTGGCGGACGTCACCAGTCCTGACGGAAGCCGCTCTCTCCGCTTTGTTTGCATCACGCAGGAGAAAAATGCAGCCAGACAAAGCCGAAGCCATCACAGCCGCCTACAGAACCCTGCCCAGCCCGTTCGCTAGCAGAGCGTCCGCCTTAGATGGTTCTGCAGACAATGCTGAGGGTTTAGGGGTTACAGAAAAACAGGCAGAGTTGGAAAAAAGAGAAAGGGAGGTTTCCAAGACCTGCCCCTTTGCCTACACGGATGATCTTCCTTCCCTGCGTGCAGGAGAGTCGCAGATTTTGCAATGCAGTCTCGGTCACCATGGCACGTCATGCGTATTATAATATACCTCCAAGTGGCCCCGTCATCTGTCTCGATCCCCTTTCGAAAGCGTCTCGCGCCGTGGCCGAAAGCAGCACAAGGGAGGCCCAAGTCATGGTTGCTTATTTCCCCATGGACAGCTTGCCTTTACATCAGCTTGCACTAACAGCGAATGCCATGTGTGTTACTCAGAAGTAAGCAGCCCCGTGTTCAGCAGGGCTTACTCCCACGTAACCCTGCTTAGGATTGTAGCTTCAGCCGCATCCCCACTTCTTTTCCTGACCGATCCGACTCTCTTTTAAAAAGCAACACTTGCTGGCTCATGGCAATGATTCTGTAGTGCAGATACGGTTGGTTTGTTTTCACAGGAACAAGGAAAAGACGTAACATTCTGGGCAACGGCTTTAGATCCAAATGCCACTTTCAGCAAGAAGACAGGCGAGGGACGGGAAGGGGGCCAGAATGAAACGTGTGTCTGGAACACAAGCAATTAAAAAATGACGACCGAGCCATGCGTCCCCATTTTCCAGCATTTTAATTCACGGCGACACCGCTTCCCCTCGAGCCAGTGTCGACGGCTGCGAAATGCCGTGTTCCCGCTCGGCGCAGCGGTGTATTTACAACCCATAAATCCGCCGGCTTCCTCAAATCGAGGCAGCGCACATGAAAGCGGCTATTTAGAAGTGAAGAAAGCTGTTTGGGAAGCATCTAAGACAGGCAGGACGGGAAAATCAGGCACTCGCTCTCTTCATCCCTGCCAGAGATCTGATCTGTAGCCGTCGGCAAGGCACTCGAGGCCTGTTCTGACAGCCGCTCTCGCAGCCGACTGTTCCCGAGCTTTCTTTCTCTTTGGTCGGGTTGTTGAAGTTGTTTCAATAACGAGTGCCATTCGTGTCACCTGCCTGCTTTCGCTTTGCAGAACCTCCGCGTCCGCACGACAGGCGGGACCGAGTTCCTCACCCGCTCGGCCACACGGTTCAAGGGCGCTTTGGCCCAGAAGTTCATGTTCGTGGACGGCGACAAAGCGATGATTGGGTCGTACAGGTACGTGGCCTCCCCAGCGCTGGCCCCGGGAGGTGAAGGGACCCCCCCACTCGGAAGAATGCAGAGCGACTGCAACGCTCCCGGCGCGCCCCGAGCAGACCGTCCTTCCTTCTCGGAGCCGGAGTGGCCGTCCCCAGACAGGCGCCCCGCAGCTCCTTTGGACGGCAGCCCGTGGGGAGGATGGGAACTGCCGTCCAAAGGGGTCTGCGAGGCGCTGCGTTGGGGAAGGGCGGCTGAGGGGGCAGAGAAGCAGAAGGGGGAGGTAGAGAAGGGCGTGGTTTAGAGTTCCCCAATATCCGCGAGGCAGCCCGAGGGGGAGCGGGGTCCCCGTCCAGGACCAGCCGGAGAGGCCTGTGGACGCCTCGTGCCGAAGCGGCAGCCAGGCCGGCGGGGAGGGGCAGCGGGGGCCGCCGGAGATCCCCCACCCCAAATGATTCCTGGTTTGTTCCCGCCCAGCTTCACGTGGTCCGCCGCAAGAACGGACCGGAACGCCATTTCGGTCCTCTCGGGCCAAGTCGTGGAGGCCTTCGACAAGCAGTTCCAGGAGCTGTACCTCCTGTCCCGGGGGGTCAGCCTGAGGTCCATTCCCATGGACAAGGAGCCGGAGCCGGAGCCGGTGGTCCTGCCCACGGTCCTGCCCTTGAGCACGAGCCACGCCGACGCCAAGAAGATCGTCAACCCCAAGTACGCCCTCGTCAAGGCCAAGAGCGCCGACCAGATCAGCGGCAGCGAGCCAAGCAGCCTCAGGAAGCCCGCCCAGGAGCAGCAGTCCGAGGCCAGGGGCATGGCGATCCCGGAGGGCCGGGTGTCCGAGAGGCCCAGCGCCCTCCTGGAGAGGGCCCCCCCGGTCCACCCCGGGCTGCAGAACCTGGAGAGGGCCAACATGTTCGACTACCTGCCCACGTGGGTCGAGCCCGACCCGGAACCCGGGAGCGAGGTGCTGGGCTACATCAACATCATCGACCCCAAGATCAAGAACATCCAGCTGTCGCAGATGAACCGCATCAAGGTGTGTGACGTTGCCAACGCACATGCCCGGCGCAAGCACGCCCAGAAAGCCCCGGAGGCCAGGACAGGTCCCCAGGGCAGGCAGCCGGCCCCCGCGGGTCCCCACCAGCCGGGCACCCCCTCTCCGGCAGCACAGAGCCAGGAAGCCTCCCCGGACGCTGCTGCCAGCCCCAGGGAGAAGGCGCACGGGAAAACGGCGGGCGGAGAACCATCAGCCACCACGGACGGCAGTCGGCACCCGCAGCCACCGCTGGACGCTGCGCCTCCTGACCGGGCGGTCAGCGCTGCCCCAGCGCCCGACCCACAGGCTGCCGATGTGACGGACTCGCTCGCTGCAGCAGCCGCGCAGGCCCAGGAGGGGACCGGCGGCACGAGCCCGGGGCATGACGAAGGGGCGGCCCAGAGCCCGGAGGCGGGTCGCCGCGGCACACTGAGCCGGCAGGGGGCCGTGTCCCGGGGGGCAGTGAACGGCCTGCCGGAGGGCGAGGCTGAGGAGGGAGAGGAGGAGGACTACGCGAGCCTGAGCGACCACGAGAGCTTGCCCGGCACCCAGGGCTGCAGCCCCCGCCCTTCCGACGCCTCCTCCATCTCGGACGAGTACTTCGAGGTGAGGGGTCCCTCGGGGCCGCTGCGGAGGACCAGCCTGGACTTCCTCCCCAACGGGGGGGTGCCCAGCCCCCCGCCCCGGCCGCCCATGCAGAGGAAGCTGAGCGAGCCCCACGTCAGCCGGGGCTCCTTCACGAGCCCGCTGGGGAGCCCCCAGGCCCTGCTCAGCCTGGAGGAGGCCAGCCAGCGGCGCGGAAGCGACAGTGTGGAGGAGATTAGGTGCGTTCTGGGAAGGGGCCGCAACCCGCATGCTTTCCCCGACGGCTACATTACCTGTCCGAGCAATGCTCCACAGGTAGGATGATCCGGCTGGCCCACCAAAGGGCCGGGGGGACGTGCTCTCGCTTGCAAAGGGTCTGGCTGCGTTGTGAACGGGCGCGGAGGGGGCCGGGGGCTTGACCGCTGCCGGGAGCGCAGCCGCCACGGGAAGCCTATCTTCCACCGTGGGGCAGGTCTCCTTGCTCCGAGGGGACGCTGCTGGACTGCTCCTGTCCAGAGGAGGCATTTCTGTGGACTCCTAGTTGCTCCGCAAGGTGCAAAATCTTCCTTCCGCACGCGGTGTATGGATGGAAACCGGTGCAGTGCAAAGGGACCGGGGGGGGGTGTGTGTGAAAGGGCCCTGCTGGGTTGGCCCGGGGTTTTGCTGCTGCTTGTAAAAAGGGGGGCTTATGCCGGTCCGCCTTCTCCTTCTGGACCCCTTTAACCGGTGTGGGTCGCAGAGACATAAATGGAACGCCAAGAGGGAGGGAGAAACCGGGCTGGGGAAGGGATTCTCGCGGGATGGCAGAAGCAGGCCTTTTCCAGCCTGAAATGTCCCCGATGGGCGAGAATCCCACCACTGTCCCTGCGGAGCACACGGCCCAACACACAGACAGGCACTGAGCTGGGGACGCTGGCACAGAGCAGCCGCGAGAGCCAAGGCGGAGGGGGACTCCAGTGGCACAAGAGCAATTACGATGCTTGGCGCTGCCCGCCCGTCTCTCTCCACTGGCACCAAAGGAGCCGAGACTAAGCCCCCGCTTTTAACTTCTCCGGCCTTGTGATAGGGGATGGTGGGAGGGTATAATGATTTCATTATAATGGTTTCATTTCATTGCACCGAAGGCCGATCCTCCTGCCAGCCTCTGTGTTGACATCACACCTTTCACTGGCAACTGCCTGTCACTTCGCGCCTCCTCTTTCCCTCTGAGCTCCGACGGTCGGGAAATGAGCTCCGCACGCTGCCTGCATCTGCCCCCCCCCCCCCGCTGCTTCCCTTGATTTCGCAGCACCTTGCCCAGCCCCGAGTCCCCCGTGCTTGAGGGGCAGCCCAGGCCAGGCCAAGAGATCTCAGAAACGGCCACCGAGTCGCCGTGGTGCCGGCACAGAGGCCCCGTTGCCAAGAAAGCACAAGCGCGGCTTTGCCCGCCTTGCAAACGCGAGGTGCAGCTTGCCCGCCAACCACGGCACCCCCTTCCCTGCAGGGCGCCCCACGACGCCTCTCCAAGTAGGAGCCTCAGAAACGGGAAGGTCTGGCCACGTGGCCACGCCGGACGGCAGAGGCAGCGTGGCGCGATCGCATTGGTAACCCTTGTGTATCTCAGATGATGTTGTCGTTGCACTGGTCTCTCGTGCTGTGGGCTGCCTGGCGTCCCAGCACTGGCAACAGGCAGAACATAAATGCAAGAGCAGCAATCGTAAAAGCCAAAACCTCAACACGGGAAGGACTGTGCGGCTCTCTGACATCGTCCTGTCCTGATGGTGGGAAGGCAAACCAAGCAGCCTTTCCACCCCGGCTGGGCCGACCAACTGACTTGCGGCAATAAGAAGGTGTGCCCAAGCAACTGCCGCCCAACAGCAAGGGTGTCCAGCTCCAAATTTAACAGCGACCCCCCCTCCTTCCACGCCGTGACCCTAACCTGATCCTCCCTGCATGGCTCCCCTCCCATTCTTCATTAATAGAGCAGGCTAAACGTGCACTTAGTATGATCAAATTTCTGCTTAGATCCTCATGCCTTTTAGCAGCAGTTCAGCTCCAGCTTTGGGGAGCAACCGAACTGTGCCAGAAAGGAAGGAAGGGTGTGAAATCCAGGGCTTCCTCTGGAGTGGAACGTGATCGAGGCATCTCCCTCTAGCGATCCCTGACACGCTCCATCGGGATGCGTGTGTGTTCCGTTTTGCAACTCTATTTTCACACCCCTTTTTCAGCACGATGAACACGTGTGAAACCTGAATTAAACCCGGGATTCTGAAATCCAGTTCAAGTGCATAGGAGACGGAAGTGCAAAACCTTCATACTGAAATTATTTCACCTGGGATGCCAGCAAAATTTTATCCTGATCTGTTTAGGGCCCGAGATGCAGGCAGGGACCATTCCCGCTTCTGTGGGATCGTTAGCCAGTTTTATACAGCAGTGAGCTGGCCCATGAATAAACGAACCCGAACCCTCTGACGCCACGGCTTGCGGCGGGGGCGGGGGGAGTCCAGTGTCCTTTTCCACTGGCTTGCGATCGGGAGTGGACTTCCTTTTTTAAGAGGCCCGCAGAGCAGGGTGGAGGCGACGTAATGACGCGCCGCTCCAGATGAAAGCAGTCTTCACTGGTCCCAGTGTGCCCAGTCCCAGCTCGCCCAGCCCTGCCCGGGAGCCAGCCGGGTTTTGCAAACTAGGCAAGCCAGCACCTTTGAAGTCCCGGCGGGGCAGCGTCTGATGCGCTGGCATGTCCCAGTTGCCTGGGTCAAGCTGGTTTTTGTCATGCTTGCGAGACGCTTCGCAGAGCTGTGGATTCAGACCGACTCACACGCCACCCTGTGCAGACGCGTTTTGTTTCGGGTCGGGAACGAACCGGCCGGCCCGACCCGGCTCTGTCGCCCCAGGGCACAAACCCTGATGTGCAGGACCACCGTGTCTTCCCCTCATCCCTAGTGGAATAAACCGAGCCTGAATTTGCACTTGTGAATCCAGGTGTGCTGGGCGGCTCGATGGAGCCAGCGCCCTCGGGACTCGCCCGGCCACAAAACGCAACGCCAGTCGCTACGAGACAGTAATGAGGCTGAACACCTTGGCCCACGAGTTGGCCACTGATTAAGGAGGGTTAATGGCGCCTTACCTGGGTACAGGATCCGGCTTATCATGCCCGGCATGATGATGATGGCCATGGGCAACATTTTTAGGTAGCCGGCCAGGATGGAGGCTGCCTTGGCGTGGTTGAGGTCCTTGGCAGAGAGAGACCGCTGGACGATGACCTGTGCAGAGCCAAAAAGCAAGGGAGCACCAGTGAGGCACGGGTGCCCCCAATTAGCTCCAGTTTACCTTGTCCCAGCGCCCACTTATAGCCTGGATAATTATATAGCGCAAAAGAGGAAGATGCGTTAATGCAAGGTCCCGGTTTTAACTCGCAAAGCTCTACACAACTGGGGACCACAGGCCCCTGCTGGGAGGACCCACCCGTGCCCTCTGGTCGACTCTGAGGCCTCCTCTGTGGGGTGTTTGGAGAAGGGCAGCGAGGCAGGGGGCCGTGTTGGGGACGGCCCCGACTGTGGAAAGCTCTCCTCGGGACCAATACTGTGGTTCTTTTCAGCTCCAGGTTAGGCCTTTCCCCTGTCGATGGGTCTGTTGAATTGCCTGCACTTTCCGCTGGTCATTTAGTTGTTCCGTGGCCACTGGATGATGCTGCTGGACCGCTGGTGTCGCCCTGGTGTCGCTTTAGTTTTGCTTTGTGAGCTGCCTCGAGGCTTTTTTCAGGGAAGGCGCCAAAGGAGGGCCTCAGCCGGAACAACCACAAGGCTGCCGGTGTGTTTCTAAAAACAAACACGCAGTCCCCAAAACTGCATCCAGGGGAATTGGGTCCTTGAAAAAGGTGATCCTTGAGGCAGCTGCGTGTGCCGGGATCTGGGAACCTCCCGCCCCTGCGTTTTTGCAAGCCAGCTGGGCCCCACACCTCCCCCTTTCCAAGTTCCCAAGCAAGAGGAAGCGGTGCCATCCAACCCCATCTACCCACAAATGCCTCTTCCCCATTTGCCTAATGGGAAAGGAAAAGGACCTTACGAAAGAGCTCCGGCTCAGTCGAATAAACAAGCAGTGAAAACGATCCACCTTCAAATCTTAACTCCTTCCATTTATAGAAAAGGGATCTCATGATTCGCCTTGTGTCCCAACTTGCATGGTTTGCCTTGTGTCTCAACTTGCCTGCTCGCTTGCTTTCCTCTGCTCCTTCCTCTTCTCTATATTGTTCAAAAACTGATACTCTGGGAAGTTCCCAGCAGTTCATAAAAACACAGACCACAAATACTGGGCCAAAGCCGTCTCGGGGGGCAAAACAGGTCACCTTCTCCCGCCCTTCCGTGCTGGGCCTCTGGCAATCTACTGGACCCCTCGGGAGGCCAGCCGCTGTCCCTCAGCCTCAGTCCTCCCATCTGCCATATGGGCTTAATAACAGGGCTCTGCCTTCCCGGGCCGTGGCAGAGAAGCCTTGAGACAAGTGTATGTGCAACCGTTGAGGGGACGTCCGCACCCCGCGCTCCCAACCACCACACCAAACTAGCTCCCCGGTTTTCCTCCCCGCAGTCCGTAGGATAGGATTCCTCCCATGCAGATGGCCAGACAAGGCACTAGGGAGGCGGTTTTGAGCACAGCGAAGGCAGGGGGGAGGTGAAGGGTCAGCTGTTCAGCACCGGCGCCTCAGGCCGAGCGCAGCTGATGCAGCAATGCGTAGCCCCAAGCTCAGAACTGGAAGGGGGAAACCCGACAAAAAATAACTCCAGAAAGTTGCAGGGCGGGACAGACTGCCCAGTACTGGGTCAGTCTGGTGAGCAAGCAGAATGAGAGCTGATTCTCTGCCTGCTTTCACCATTCCTGGTCCGCCTGGAACAGGCCGGGAGAAACAAGTGCCCTCCTTTTCCGGGCGTTTTGTCCCCCTTACCGGCACCAAGATCTTGGACCCGTTTGGGAATCCACCATCAGGGGCTCCTGTCCCCTCCAAAGGGTGTTTCTTAAGCTGGTGCAATTACACAATTGCCCCCATTGCACGGAAGAGGAAAACTAAGCCAGGGCCTCCTGCCTCTTCCAGCCACCTTCCGTGCCCCCGATAACCGGGGGAAATGCAGGGAGGGAAGGCTGGCATTCCCGGCGGCGGGTGACTCAGTTGCACGGAGTGATTCAGCTCAGCGCACTCAAAGGCCAACCCGCCCGGGCGCCTTCATGCCACAGGCGTGTGTCTTCAGGGATCGCACGACACGCAGCGCTGAGGAACTGCCTCTCCCCGCCCGTCCCGCCCCCCAGGACTGCCCGCCTTCCCCAACCTGGCAGCCTGCAGAGGTGACCCCCACGGCCGCCCTCATTCCAGCTCCGGAGAGTGGTGGGACCTGCCGTCCAGCACGTCTGGTGCAAAGCAGGGCCTCTTGGAGCCGGGAGGGGCGATTCCAGCAGCTGCCCCCCTGCAGACCCAACGGAAAAAGCGGCCCCGCTCAAGCTTCCCAGCAGTTCCTTCTGAACATGGGTTTGTCTGCAAGCGATGCTACTTCGTTAGCATGATGCGCCTCCAAGGGGCTTCAGCGCGGCAGTGGACGAATGCACGGAAAAAGCCGAGCGGTCCAGTCACGTGCGATGCTCACCCAGTTGGACCCATTTAACGGGGGACTGGGCAAATTCACAGGGGAGGCAGCCACGGCTGTGGGTCTGGAGGGCTGCCTGCCCCCTCCAGCGTCAGAGGCGGGGTGGCCAGGCGCCCCAGGTGCTGGGGCACATGGGCAAGAGGGGCAACACTTGTCCTGCTTGTGGCCTTCTCCAGGCATCTGGTTGGCTTGTGTGAACGGGATGTTGGACCGGATGCCCCTGGTCCGGTCCAGTACCAGAGCTCTGCTTAAGCAGCTCTGCACTTCCTGTAAAGAACCAGGGGGAACGGGGGCTCAGCCCGGGGGAACTGGGGCTCAGCCCGGGGGAACTGGGCTCCCCAGCCGGCCACAGGGCCCCGTCGGTCAGAAGGTGGGCGAGGGCGAGCGAGCCGACCAGCAGGAATTTCCGACTCCAGCAGCTTAACACAGAAACACTTCCCTGCCTGTAGGCCCGCGAAAGCGGATTCCCAGGCTGAGCACGCGCCTGCGGCACCTCGGCTTGCGAAAGCACCTGCTGTGCGCACCTTTCTGAGCCACTCTTTTGCGCATGGCCCCGGCCGGCAGGCGCTGAGCTTCTCGTGAGAAAGGCGGTCGATCCTGCAAACTTGGGCTTGGGCGACCCCTCTACCAGTGGGGCTGCAGGATCCGTGGGGAAACGAGTGAGCTGTGATTACTGGCCACGTGCAGGCAGCCGGGCAGAGTGCAGTAATGTGCATTGCTCCGTAACCAAGAGAGCTGGCAGCTTGCGTCCTTTAATCAGAAGCGGGAACTCCAGAGGACACTGGAATGGCCCCCACCCCCCGCCCACCTGCCCTGTGCCTTAGGTTGAGTCAGCTTTCTGGGCTCCCCCCTCCACGGGGGACGGGCACCCTCCCTCGTGCCAGGGGTCGTGCCGCAGCTCCATTCCCGGCTGGTCGGGGGCTTGAGGAGCAAGACGATGAAGGGCTTCCCCCGCAGTGATCCGGGCCTCTCCGAGTCTTTTGCCTCGGGTGCTGTTTGTTGAGCAGGCGTGGTGTGCCCTGGCCGTTCTGCTGTGCTGCTCAAATATTTGCGATGTTGCTCGGTTGCTCGGATGCGCCTGCCCTCCTCCCCAAGCGCGGAGGTTCTAGCAGGAGAGCGAAGGCCCCTCCTCGGGCCGGGCCAAGGCATGGACGCCCACCTTCCTCAGCCGTGCTGCCCTCTTCCTGCACTCGGGGCTTTCTGCAGAGTCCTCGGGGCCTCTCAGCCCCACCCGGGAGACCCATAGGTCTCCGTGGGGCGCACAGCGGGGTGGGGGCCCTGGTCGTTCATCCAATGGCTGCTCGGCTGAGCGTGGCTGCTCCTAAAATCGTGCATGTCCCAGAGAGTCCAACGGGCATGACTAAAAGGGACCCCTCCCCACGAGTCTGGGCAGAAGGCTGAGATGGGGGGGGGTCTTTTGCTCCCAAATAAAGATGGTGCTGGAGGGACGGGGCCACTCGCCATTGCTGCCCGCTTTCCTTCAGTTAACCAAAAGAATAAAATCTCCCCCCCTCCCCAGCTCGGTGCTTCCTCCTTTGCTGCCCCCCCTCCTGAAAATCGTACGGGAGGGCTGCCTTAAAACCACCTCTTCCGTGACTTCCTGGCTCCGGGCAAGCCGTTGCCCGAGGGAGCCGAAGGAAGCCCTGCTTCCCGGGCCCGCCTCCTCTGTCGACTCCCCTCGGCGCACCCTGAATGGCGACCCTCGCGGGGCTGGGAGCCGTGCTTTGGGCTTTCCGGTCGCCAGGCCGTGCTCGCGGGGGGTGGGCCGCGGGGGGTGGGGGCCGCGGGCGAGCAGCTGGCCCCCAAGCGGCCCTCCGCGCTGACTGACGTGTCTTTGCCTTGTGCTTCACACCCAGGGACCACAGATCTTCTGCTACGGAGCCCGGGTGCAGGTGTCCATGGGAAGAGGCAGGAGCGGTCCCCAGCAGGGGAAAGCCCCGGAACTCAGCAAGCCCCCGCGGGATGGATCCAGGCCGAAAGCTCCCTGCCCGGGCCCAGGCCGCCAGCCCGGCTGGCCGAGCAAAGCCTTTGGCTCCGGCAAGAACTCGCAGCCCGGCCCCTTCCCCCAGGGAGGCGGCCCCCCGAGAGCCCCTGGCCATGTGCTGCCCCAGTTCCAAGAAGGCCAGAGGGCGCCGGAAGAACTGAGGACGCCGCTGGGCATCCCGCTCTCCAAACTGTCCCAGTCCAAGCACCTCAAGAGCAAAGCCGGCCAGTGGCCCGACCCCAAACGGAGGCACCCCGGGGCCGCCGGCCGCAAGGACCAGTGAGTCCGCGGGAGGCGTCGCGCGAGGGTGTTCCAGAGAGGCCGTGGTCCGGAGGCCCAGGGCGCCGCGGTGGAGCCTCGGCCCGCCAGGGAAAGAGGAAGCTGAAGCCTGGGCTTACCTGGTCCGTGCACCAGTACCACGTGGCCAGGACCGAGAGCCCGGCGGTCATGCCAGTCCAAGGCAGGTCTCCGGAGACGGGGTCCCGGAACAGGTGCATCGCATCCGGCCGGGGCAGGTGGCACGCGGCGCTGGGGATGGCCTTAGCGGGAACGGCCTTCAGGTACGCCTCTTCCAGGTTGCGGTAGCCACCGATCTTGTCAAAGGCTTTTCGAGGGGAAGAGGGGAGAGCTGGTCAGAGCCGGTGTGCTGAGCAGCCGGCAAATTGCGCGTGGCTCACCAGACGTTTCCCCCGGGCCAAAGCCCCACGTCGCCACCTTCTCCACAAACGCCGGGCCTGCGGCGCTTCCCACATCCAGGAAACCCAGTGGGGCCACGATGCAGGAAGTCCAGCACAACAAACGGGCAGAGCCCCATGGCAGAGGACGTGCCTTGGATGGACCAAAGCTCCGGCCACACGCCTCTCCGCAGCATCCCGCAACTTCTGTTCCGGTCGCCCCGGCCTGCGGACCCCCGAGGCCTCGGACTGCAGTGGCCCTCGGCCCAATCTGAGCACGTCACGTCGGGACGCTCCTCGCGGAGCCTGCGGCCGGCCAGTTTCCTCGGCCAAACCCTGGCCGTGCGGGACGACGAGGAGCTGGGTTCCTCTGCAGCAGCGCCCACGAGACCACCTCTGCGCCCGGGGCGCCTGCAGGATCCGAGGGGCACCGGGAAGCAGCCCCGACGACAAGCGGCTCGGAAGACGAGACCGCCGAGGGCTGCCATGTCTTACGGGCTGCCTCTCCTCCAGCAGCAGGAGCAGCTGCAAGGGGACCCGGGTCCCCCCGCCCCCCCGGGGGTGTCCCACCAGCACCTGGCTGGCCGCCGTGTCCACAGCGCCGGGTGAGGAAGGCCCCCCCCCCGAGAGCCAGGGGAGCGGCCACCGATCAGGTCAGGCCAAGAGTGGCTTCCAGCACTGTTAGTCCCCCGCATTCTAGGATTCTAACCCATCATCCCCGGACAACGCTGGCAGATGTGGTCCAACCACATCTGGCTCCCAGAGCAGGCCAGAGCCTGCCTCGGCATCGTCACCACGGGGGCGGAACCGTGCGGGGGGCCCAGCCGGAGGGAGCGGGGCCAAGCAGCTGTGGCTGAGAGACCCTCCCCCAGCCTGGCGCCCTGCAGATGTGCTGGACTACAAGGCCCACCACTCCCAGCCAGCACGGCCCTCGGCTGGGACGCGTGGGAGCTGCAGTCCACAGCATCTGGGGGCCCCGGGCTGGCTGAGGCCTGCGGAGAGAGGGCGGGCGAGGCGAGGCGAGGCGAGGCAGTGGTTCGGCCCGTCCTTCCTTCGGCGCCTTCCAGGCGCTGCCCTTGGTCGAGGACCAGCAAGAGCCTGGCTGTGTCGGCGCATCAGAGTCGTGATTCAGCCCCATCGGGCCGCCGACGGTTTCCCGCTCCGGCGAGGCGGCCACATCTCAGACCAGCGCCAGCACCCACAAATGTGGCAGGATGAAGCCCACGCTCTTGGGAAGGCGCGTGATTGGAAGACGGTCGCGAAAGGGGAGGGCTGGTGGGGGGTTGTGGCCCGCTGTGGCCCCTGCAGGATATTCTGTGGGAGGGGCCCTTTCCATTAAATGCACGGCTTCGGCCCCTTTACTTGGCAGTATAAGCAGAGGCGGATCGGGAGGAGGACGGGGCGGAGGGAAGGTGCACTCTGGGCCAGGTGTGCGCGCTCGGAAGCGTCTGCGTGCAGCTGGCGCAACCGCCCTGGGAGGGAGCTGGCTTCCAGAAGCCCCCGAGGGGGCAAAGCTGGATGATCGCCAAGGCCAGCCGCCAGCCAGGCATCTCCCAAAGCCTGTGGAAGGCAGGGCAGGAGAGCTCCTGAAGAGGAGGAGACAAGGCAGATGGAAATGTAGTCCCCAACCCTGCCTAGGAGAGGGGAAAGGAGCGAACGGGCTGCTCCCCCCCGGGACCCCTTCCTTTAAGATTTGGCAAGATGCGCATTCCGGCGCACCGGGTTCCTAGAATGTGCTGTACAGCCTTCCAACTTAAAAAAAAAGTTTTTTGAATTTAAACACTGAAATAAAAGCCACCAGAGTTCCATAAAGGGTGGAAACTTGTCTTGCGCCTGCCACCATTCTTGTCCTCTATTTTATTCGTTCATCTAGAGATTTTCTATGCCGTTCTCTTACTCAAAGCCTCAGGATGGACTTAAGATAAAGCAAAGCAAAGCGCAGCATCACCTTCTATAAAACCCCAGTTCAAGGAAGGACAGCATCATGCCATTTAAATATAGGGAGTGGGAGGGCAGGTCCCTGCCCCAAGGGAATTGCAATGCAAAAATCAGGCAACACAAGCTAAGAAGTGGAGGCAGCAGCCCGAGCTCGGCAGAGGGAGAATACGGCACGGCTGAGTTAGACTAGGCTGCATGGATAACGGAGGTTGTGCCAGAAATGGCACAGAAATGCAGGTTTTGAGGAGGGTCAAGGTGGAAGTAGGAAAACATATGAGGTGTTTTGACAGCTCAGACTGGGGTCCCTCGAGTCGGGCAGGTCCCTGCCCCAAGGGAATTGCAATGCAAAAATCAGGCAACACAAGCTAAGAAGTGGAGGCAGCAGCCCGAGCTCGGCAGAGGGAGAATACGGCACGGCTGAGTTAGACTAGGCTGCATGGATAACGGAGGTTGTGCCAGAAATGGCACAGAAATGCAGGTTTTGAGGAGGGTCAAGGTGGAAGTAGGAAAACATATGAGGTGTTTTGACAGCTCAGACTGGGGTCCCTCGAGTCAACAGAAAGACATGCAGGGCGAAACAGACACACACGAGAGTGATCTGGAGAGATCGCAAATGCACACGTGGAGAGGGAGAGACAGAGAGCGAGGCGCCCACAGACGCCCCGTGCACAAGCACGTGCGTGGCACACGCTCACTGTGAAACCGGCCTCCTGACCAACGATAGCAAGTCGATTCGGAAGGAACGGGCCGGAAAAGGGGCCCGCTGGTTTGATTCAGGACGGCTTCCGTTGGTCCAGCGAGATGGCCCAGCACCTCCGGGATGTGGCCAGGCCGAGAGCAAGGGGCCGGTCCCACGGGGATATACTGCCCCTGAGCCGAGAGGTTCATCCAAGGCTTGTGTTCACTGCATAAGAACTGGCCGCAAGCTGCGAAGGAACGGACCTGCAAAGCTCTTTGCGCCGGTTCCCCCGATAGCTCCGGAGGTTGGATGGGCGGCTGCGGGGAGGGGAAGGAAGGCCAGCCCTGCCCTTCTGGGCCCCCTCACTTTCCAGAACATCCGGAACAGAACTTCCACCCCCCCCCCCCGTTCCGCGGGGAGCTGCGCATGTTGCCGATCCAGGGACAACTGAGGCCTCCCTTCTCGGGCAGGGGGAGGGTGGCGCTTTTCTTCGCCCTTACCGGTTACGGTCAAGATGACGGCTCCAACCACCATGATGAGGGTCTGCAGAGCATCCGTGTAAATGACAGCAGCCAGCCCCCCTGCAAGACACACATGGGCTGGGTCTAAGGCAGTGCCCGCTACTACACGGGGCTATTATTTTATTTAAAACTTAAAAACTGTCCCATCACAGACGTCTCGGGATGGTTCACAACAACATCATTAAAATAAAATAAAAATAGAAGCAAGAGAAGCACTGTATCCAATATTAGGTATAAAACCCCAAATTAAAACAAATTAACAATTAAAATTTTGGGAGAATAAAAAGGGTTTATTTAAAAAGGGCTCTCTGGGAGCGTGTTCCACCGGCGTTACGCACCGATCATTTCAGAATAGACCTCCTTTGCAAGGACAGATTACAAAGGAGCAGCCAGGGTTAGCCGTGGTACCTTAGTGGGTCACTCGTGGGTGTGCACTTGAATCCATGTCTGTGTGCGACAGGATACAAGTACAAGAAATTCACGTTTTAGAGAGAGGAGGGAGATGAACTCCAAAGAATGGCCCCTCTGGCAACTCGGCCTAGCAATGTTTTCACGAGAAACGGGCAAGCAAGGCCTAGAAATAGGGACCAAAGCAAGACAAGGATTTCCCCAGAGTAGAGACCAGGTTCCAGGTCAGAGGGACGGCTGGAAGGGATCCCGGAGCGCCCCAGGCTGGCTCTCCAGGGCAAGGGCGGCTTCCTGCCTTGCTTGGCTGGGGCATCAGCCCTCTGGGGGCTGCATCTCACCTGCAATCGTGTATACACCTGTGACCAGCAGCATCAGGACCGTGGAGAGGTAGAGGTTCCACCCAAGGCAGACCTGCACACACAGGGCCCCCGAGTACAGGTCGGTCTGCAGGAGAGAAGAAAGCGGCACCGCGGTCAGACTGGGGGCGCCCGGGGAAGGGTTCGGCCGGGGCCTAGTCTGGGCTCCAGCAGAAATCAGCAGGGAAGGGCGCTGCTGGCAGGGCGGGCGAAGCATCCCTGCGCGTTTCCGCCCCTCCGGCAGCGGTTGGAGGCCTGCAGTCTCCCCGCCGCATCCGGGCAGCGCTGGCCAAGCTGGGCCGTTGGCTTCGGGCCACATTGCTCTGGTGTTATTCTCCCATCGGAACGACTCGGTCTTAGGCCAGGGGCTCGTCTAAGAGTCAGAGGCCAAAGACAGCCAGAATTTCAACAGATGAAGACGCCGCTACACATGCCTTGCAACAGTTCGAGGTCGGGGTGGGGGCGGTTCGGATGCTGGGGCCACAGCAGAAATCCACAGGCAACGTGCTCCTGTCCTGCTCTTGTGCCCAGGGAAGCATCACCTGTTGGATTTCTGCCTGTGAAGCAGCTCTTAAAAAGTGCAAGCCAAGAGGGGGAAAAGTGGCACGCCTAAGCCCAGCCGCTTGCACCCAGGTCGTTGCCATAAGCCGGTGGCAGCGTCGCTGCATTTCAACCGGCCGAAAGCAAGATCGCCCAGGAGATGAGAGAGAGGCTGCCGGGAGGCACCAAGGCCGTTCGCAAGATCCCTCCTGAAGGCCGAGGCTAAGCAGTGAAATGCTGCCAGACCCATTCCCAGCTGTGACTGGTTTCCGGATCAAGAGAGGTGCCCTGCGACAGCCAGGCACGCACATCTGGCAGGAGGCACGACCGTGAGGCCTTTTCCGAAGCCTAGGTCTCCCACAAACACCGTTCTCCACAGCTTTCCCTCGGCAGCGAAAGCCGCCACCTCGCTTCAGAGGGACCTTCCAGCCTGGGGCCACCGCACAAAGCACGGGGAGCGTGTGCAGGGCAGCTAAGCCCTGTCCTGGCCAGCCCTCCCCGCCGGGACCCTCCCAGCAGCCTACGACTCCCACAATCCCCTCCACCACAGCCAGAGGGGGTTGTGGGGGCTGCAGCCCAGCCATCCGGAGGGCAAAGGGCCGGGGGAGGCCGGTCCGCCCCACGAGCTTTGTGCCCTGGTGAGGATGCAGACCCAAGTCTTCCTGGCTCGGGGCTAATGCCGTCAATCGACCGGGGCAACTGGAGAGCTGGGGCTTGTCAGCGGGGTCGTTCCAAGCAGCTCCTTCAAGCGCCGGGGCCGCCGGGGGAGCTCCTCCGCCCTAGCCTCCTCCCAGGAGGTACGGCCCAGGAGGCGGCTGTTTTCGGGGTTTTTGCAGGCTCAGCAAGCTCCTTAAGAGGCCGCCGGCTCCCCGCGGGCAAAACGAGGGAGGCGGCAACACGGGAGGCGGCAGGTGGGGCCGCGTTGGGCATTTTCACCCGCTCGACTTCAATGGGTCTTGTTCCTCCGGCACCTGCCCCACCCCTCGGCTGAACTGCCAAGTCGGCTTTTTGCTTTATTCTTCGGCTCGCTTGGCTCCAAACCCAGATGCATTCCTGCTACAGAAGGGCTCCTCTGCCTTCCCAGCTGCCCTCAGCCGAGGGGCAGGCCATGAGCTCGGGCTGGCACGTGCACCGGAGGCTTGCAGCACCGGGGGGGACCCCACCGACCTCCGAGTGCGGCGTATTCCCGGCGTTGGGCCACGCGTGCTTTGAACTGCGATTCACCCTTCGACGTGCACCAGAAAAGCAGCGGTGCTCAGCCGGGCCAGGTGCGCCAGACCCCTCGGAAACGTCAATTCCAGAGGCCGAGGCCGAGCCGGTCAGCGGCGCTCCAGGATCCAATCCCAGATGTGGCGCCTGAGCGCCCCGGATCCTTGACACCCACCCCGCATCCTCAGGGGGACTCCCATCGAAACCCGATCCGCAGTCTGTCCTGCAGATCCATGGACTCGCGCAACGGCCTCAGTCTTCTGTCTGCAGCACGAACACTGGCGCGCCCACCCCACAGGGATGTCGTAAGGACGGGGGAAAAATGTCTCCAAAGCACGTCAAAGGGGCTATAGGAAAGATGCGCACGCTCTGGCTGCGCTCCGCTGCCCGGGCCCCCAGTCCTGCCACAGCCCCGGCGCAGCACCCACCACGGAGCAGCCCGGCCCCTCGGCACGACCCCACGGCCCCGCTCCCCTCCCCAGTGGCTGCAAGGGCCGCGGTTCAGCGGCGAGTCCTGAAACCTCCCCACGTGCCACGTGGCCCTGGGACCACCTGCGGGATCACAGGAGAGGCATGCGCTCCCGGGGCGCCGGATTCAGCCAGCGCGACACACCGGCCCGGGAGCCAGCCTGGGGGTGCGGGGGAGCGTGCGCATTCAGCCCAAATCTGGCCTAATGTGGGGGTGCCCTTCTCTTGGCTCTGCCTACAAGCGTGCCAGTGTGGTGTCGGCTGTTCTTCCAACATCTGTACAACACTTCCCTATTAAAAAGTGTGCCGCTCCTCCGGCCAGTGCGGTGTGCAAACCGCTGGCAGCGTCTGGGCCTGTCGCTCGGGGATGCCACCTTGAGAACCGCGAGCCCGCAATGGGTCCGAGGCCGTTGCAGCCCAGCCACGGCAGAAGGACATGTAAAACCCCTGGGGAGGATGCGAGGGAGAGGAGGGGCCGGTGGCCCCCCTGCACGTGCCCTCGGGGGGCCGTGGGAGCAGCCGGCCGGGGGCTCTGGGGCAGCCACGGGCCCCTTGAGGGCTCACCAGGTCCCTCCAGACCCAACATGGGGCTCTCAGCCACCAAGGCAGCAGGTTCCAGGCGCTGCCTGAGCTCCTTCAGAGCGAGGCAAGCAGATGCCCGCCCGCTGCAGCCCCCTCGCAGGTCCCGGGGCTGCAGCTGGCGCCCCACGCCCTCCCCGGCAGCGACGGGGCAGCCGGCCGGCCTCCCTGCTCTCGGCTCACGAGGCCTCAGCCGCACACGCAGAGGGCCCTTCCACGCGGCGGCGAGGTTCACTGCTCCGCCGCTCCCCTGGGGCATTTATGCAACACACACGGTTCCATCTCGCATGCCCCCACTGACCCAGTTCTCCGGCAATGCTCTCGGTACGTTCCCCGATGCGTGTTCCTAGCGAATGACGGCTGGCATTTTTCGCCTGTTCTTTGAAGATGCCTTGTTAAAATCGGGCTGGAGGGCATTGCGAGAGCTGCGCCTTCAGGTCTGAGTAACTTCTGAGTCACACCGCACGGCGAGTCGGAGCATGTGCTGAGTGTCGGTCGTCACTGTACCGTAGGCTGCCAGGCAATTACGGCAAACCACGGTTGCGCCATCATGAACAAACCATAGCTCATACCCCAGCAGCAAAGCATAGGTTCCCACGGTGGGTTGGTCGTGGGTTGTCAGAGCAGCTGAGTTCGCACAACACGACAGCCCATGATTCAAGAGCAACCCCTGGCTTGTCGCTCGTGTGAACCCAGCCTCTGGACGACGGGGCTGGGTGGTAATGGAGGCACCTCGCCTGTAGCACCTGCACACTGACTGGCCAGCAGGCACGCCCAGTTCACAGAATTCTCTGCCACACTTCAGGCACCCACTCTTCATGGCCAGCGCACGAGGGCCGCCGGCCACCAGCGCCAAACTGGGCTGCCCGGCCACCAGGCAGCCCTCACGGGGACCGACGTGTCCAGCGGGGTCTCTGCCACAGAAAGCTTCCCACAACCTTTCGGGGGGGAGAAGCTGGGGACCCCCCTCAAATGTGCGTGGCTTCATTTGAAGCCGCGTGGCCTCTTTCCTGCATGCACGCTGCCCCCACCCTCGAGGAGGCCCCGTTTCTGTTCCCAGAACACACACCTGGCCACCTCAGAGGCCGCCGGGCGCTGGGCAGGCACGCATTCCTCATGGGATTATCGGTTGGTTCTGACGCAACCATGCGCAACACATGCCTCTCATCCACCCTGGGTGCGATGCTCCTCTTCCCCTCCCCAGAGCCTGGCCGTGGCCTCGCGGTGCGCCTGGCCTCAGGGCCCCGCAGAAGAACGGGGCAACCGGGCAGCCTCTCTCCCCTTGCTCTCCGAGCTCCCCTTCTTGAGGCTGAACCTGCCCGGTTCCTTCCGTCTCTCCCCACGGGCAGAGCTTCCAGCGCCCAGACCTTCCCGGACCGCCCTTCCCAGCGGCCTGCATCTTTCTTGCAGAGCGGTGCCCAGAACTGACCAGTGCCCGCCGGAGGGGAACCGGCACCTCACGCAGTCGGCACTTCCAACCCTTCTCCAAGAAGGGAAGTTTGCAAATCCCAGAGCGGACTGACGTTCTCCCCTGATTATTTTCTCCCATCGGGATTAAAAGAGCCAGCTAAGATTCAGCCCTGAGTCCCCACTGGGTCATGAAACTCACGGGGGGCCTGGAGAAAGGCACTGCCCTTATTATTATTATTATTATTATTATTACTATTACTATTACTATTACTATTATTATTAAAAACATGTCTACGCCGCCCCATCGCAACAAAGCCTCGGGGCGGCTCACAACGCATAAATACAGAATAAAATAAATACTAAAATTATACAATAAATAACACCCCCCCCAGCCTAAGTTGTTATAAGGATAAAGTCGCGAGGAAGGGGGCCAAGTAGACAGATTTGTGTTTCTTGCAGGGGGGTGGGAAGGCAAAATACAAATGGGATAACTTAATAAAATGGGGGAAACACCCTGCATCTCTCTGCAGGGTCTCGAGGCACCGGGGTCCCCAGCTCTTGCATTGCTACAGCATGGACTACCCGCCCCATGTGCCTGTTTGCTTCCAGATCCCCATCACCGCTCCTGCTGAGCCCTTCACGCAGCTGTTCCAAAGCAGATTATCTCCGACCGTGAAAGAAGGTGCTGACCAACAGCAAAATACCAGACCTAAATAAACTGCCACACCTCGCTTCACGCGGCTGCAGATGATTTATCGGGACAATCTGCTGTCGACAAGAATGCCCAAGCCGGCTGCGAACGGGGTTCGAGGCTTGGCCCAACTCCCGGGCCCAACCCGATGCTGACGAGCCAGTGACTCAGCGGCGGGGCAATTAACGCAGGCCCAGTCTGATGGGCAGGGCGGGAAGCGAGCCGTCCTTTGGAGGAGCCAAGAGAGGCGTCCGCTGGGGCGAGGGAAGGACCTGGGGCAGGTTCTGGGAGCGGCGCGAGTTGGACGGGACTTGCTGGGATGGGACGGAGGCGAGGAGTTCTGTGTTTATGCTGCCCCCGTGTTGTCTGATCATACAGAAACCTTCCCCAAACGGGTGCCTTCCAGACGTCCTGGCCTGCAGCCCCGGGATGCCCCGGCCAAGGGAGCCACAGAGGCCTGCTGGGAGCTGCCATTCAGTATGGAGAACACCAGGAGGGAAGAGGCTTAAACCGGGGGCTGACACCCTGGCCAGAATCTGGTGGCGCAGACAGACATACAGTGAAAAAATGGAAAGGGGGGGAGAGACGTCACGGGCGCTGTCTCTCGCCAGGCGCGTGCCGATTCCTGCCAGTGTCACCGTTTGCGTGCGGGAGGAACATCTCGGCACATCAAGCGGCAGTCCAGCCGTCCGACCGGCCCTTTCCCTGCATTAGCCCCTTCCCCGCTTTTATGTTTAAGCCGCGACTGCGCATGCGGCCATCCACCCCGGCCTTATTCAGAAATGCCCCTGCACACCAAGCCAGACGCCGCAACGCCAGCCCAGGGAGGGACTGTGAGCGACCCACCAGCGCCAGCTCAGCTGCACCTTCCGCGGGCCAGGCTTCCTCCTTCCGGTCCGAAATGGCAAAAGCAGATTTGTGCGCTGGCCAGCGCTGAAGCGCGTGGGCTCAGAGAGCAGCGATCGGCCCATCGGGCTCAGAGCGGCACGCCTGCTGCACCCCTGCGGGACTGGAATATGCTGTCTCGCACCAGGGCACGGAGAGGAGGACGCAACCCCCTTTTTCAATACTGCAGCAGCGGCTGTGTGTCACTCGCGTGGATGTAGGGCTCCCGGTGCAACATGGGGGGCTGCTCACGGAAATATGGGGGCGCTGCACCCCCCGGGAAAGGGCAGGCGGCAGAGGCAACTGCAGTTCAAGAAGCCAGCCCTTGAGTCTCCTTTCTGACCCGGACCTTCATGCGGGTGCTCCCATGATCTCGCCACTGACCATGAGCTGAGGCAGGTTACACCCTTCCTCTGAGGAAGCGTCTCATTACACGCTGGGCTTCCCAGCCACCCAGGCAGTTCACGATCCGTTAATCAGGCACGCCAGCTCCCTCCAAACCTCTCTGCAGCATCTTCGGCTGAGCTCTGTGCTTGCCAAACGCAGAATCCCCCGGCCACGGACCACCACTCCCCACCGCTCCGAGTGCGCTACGATGCACCCGCCACTACTTCCCCACAACAAGCCTGCAGGGTGGGCCTGGGGAGGGGCTCCTGATCTCGTACGCCTTTTATTTCGAGCTGCATAGGAGCTCACCATTCCTAGCACGAGTTCGTCTCCATGAACAGCATCTCAGAGCGGCGCTCGCATGGGCGGATGCCTCTGCTCGCGGGGCATCCCCATGGCCCAGCGCCTTTTCTGAGGAACAAGCAGGCGTGCCGGAGTGTGTGGGTGAGTGTCACGCAGACAGCAGCTGGAGCAATTTATTGATTTTATTTTTATATCTGAAAGCCGCCAATCAGATCAAATGAGCTCCCAAGGCAGTAATTCTCTCTCCCGTTAAAATTAATCTAAATTATATTGCTGCTTTTAAACAAAGCCTTGTAAATAACTCCCCTCAGATGAGCGGTCGCTGGTCGTTTTATTTACTTCTACTGCATCTGCCACCCAAGCAGATTTGGCTGCAGGTGATGCAACGATATTTAGCCAAAGAAACACAGATTTGCAAGTGCCGAGGCTTGGCCTGCAGCGCCCCCTGCTGAACAGGTGGCTGCACTGCGCCTGAATTACCCTCTGCAACCGCCGAGGATCCGGTCCGACAGGCCCTCGAAGGGGACCTCTGCAGAGACAGAATATTGGTCCGCACAGCAGAGCTCCTCCGGCTAATCACGGTTTATTGTGCTGTCTGAACCCAATGAGGCAACAGGGTGAGCACTGGGTTCATAGCCCAAGATCAAACCGTGTTTTGTTACATTTAACACGCCATGGGTTATTAGCCCAGCTGGGTTCAGACGACATGATAACCCACCTGTTGGCAACACCCGAGGGTTCAGCCGCAACCATGCTGAACCCTTGCCGTGGGTTCGTGTTGTCCGAACCCAAGCTCCACAACCATTTCTGAGAGCCACTATTCCGCTGCGCAGCTGCTCGACTTACAGATATCTTGGTGAAGATGGAGAGCAGAAGCGACAAGGACGCGAGGTACATCCGGATCCTCTCCCCGCCAAACCTTTTCTGGAGATATTCAGGCATAGTAACAATCTGAGAAAGTAAGAGGGAGAGACGGTCACGTTCCAGTGCTGGAGTAACTCTGGATGAACCACGGTGGGATTGGGAGGTGAGAAAGGAAGCGCTGGTGGCTGGATCCACTCCGCACACAGCAAGTGTCTTGAAAACAGGCTTGCAAAACTGGCTGCCTGCGGTGAGGAAAGAGCGTCTTTGACATGTGTGGATTTGATCCTTCAAGGCTGCCTGCAAATCATTTTAAACTGGATAAGGAGAAGGCACCCTTGTGAGCCGGGAAACGGACTTCTCCACCCTTTTCTACTTTTGATGGGCCACAAATGAACAGGGTGGGTCAGTGCAGCGAGCTGGACTAGGAATTTCCCTGAGACTTGCGCTTGGTGAACCGCCGAGTCCCGAGTAGGGTCCTCATGGACCGCAAGCATCTCAGCAAGGTGCCTCTACTGGGGCCGAAGCCGGAGAATCACCTTGGCCAGGTGAGCAAACAGGCAAACGGGGCCACGGGAAGAACCGAGCACAACGTAGCCAAGGACAGTCGGGCGGTGAGTCCGGCCCAGTTTCTACTTACCCCCGAAGAGGTGTAGACAGGAACAAACACCCACGCCAAGGCTAGCAGCACATAGGTAGCCTGAAAGGCAGCAAGAAGACAGAGAGACACCCACGCATGGAGGGGCCGGTCCTGCACGCCACTGCGTCTACCGGCACGAAGGGATCGGTGCTTCTGGCTTGCGCCCAGGTGCACAAGCCCATTTCAACGGCTTCTGAGGATCTCTCAGCTCGTAATAAAGCCGGTACATAAAAGGAAACAGCAGGGCGTCCATGTCAGACCAAAGGGGCGCGCCAAGCAGCTCAGAAACCATCATTAGCAGTTCTCCTCCTGCTGCTGGTATTCCGTCCTCACCACCTTCAACTCTTCCTTGGCCACAAAAGCCCATAGATGAAGAGCTAAAGGATGTGCTTGCCATGAGACGCCACCTTTTTCCCGTCCCCTGGATGCAGAAACGGTGCATGGCACGGGGGCAGGAAGGATGCAGGAAGATCTGCCTTCAGCTTTTCCCACAAACTCATGTATGGACAATCCCCGTTTATCTCCTGCTGTTTATCTCCTTTCAGGCAATCGTAGCAAAGTACCTTACTTTGTACAAAAGCACTTCTGTTAACCACCCAGAGAACTTTGGCTAGTGGGCAGCATAAACATGAAATATTTATGATAACAGGTAAACAAATGCCGTGAGCTTGATAAAAAGGCAAAATGTGGGCTGAGGCGGTCCAGGGCCAGGCAGGGTCCCACGGGGGCAAGGTGGGGCAGACGCGTGAGACGCAGACACACCGGCCACTGCGCAAACAGGTGCGGGAGAGTCCCTGCAAAGCCCTTACGTTCCACTCGAAGCCAGCCACCGCAATGCCGCCGGCCGCACCGGTGCCCGCCAGGCCGATGAACAGGCCCGATCCTTCGCTGCTGGCAAAGAGGGACGCCCCGACCTGCACGCCGGAAACAGGCAATGTCATTTGTCAGCCCTGCACAAAGTTTTTCAAGGCGATTTGCATGTTGAGCTCGTTGTTTTATTTCAGTTATACATGGAACAAGAGAAGCTGCATTCACTCACCGGCCACCAAGGAACGTTTTTCCCAGCCAGGAAATAGCCAGTTAATGTGTTTCTGTTTGCTCTGCATGAAGACTGAGGAGACAGAACAGAGCTTTGTGAAATTATGCACCGAGTAAAGGCAGATATATTTCACCCCTCATCCATGCTGTGCGTATTTTTATTTGTATCCCAGCTTTCTGCCCAAAAGGATGATCTCTGAGGCAACTGACAAGCAGATAAAAACAATCAAAAAATTAAAACTTACAAATAAGTTAAAACACAAGAAATGAACCTGTCAAAAGGAAAACTCATTGCTATGTTTTTGCATTCTCTGTGTTCGCCTCCACAGCACCAGAATAAAAATTGTTTTTCATGGAGTGAGCACACTCGTATCTTCAGCATCCTGGATCCTATAAAATGTGCCGATAGAGAAAAAGCCAACACCCCCCACCAGGCCCCGGCCCCAGAACGGTTACGGCAGTTACGAAGCCGCCTTACCCATACTCCCACCGCCAGATTCAAGGCAAAATACACCACGACAACAATCACATCGGAAACGCTGAACTGCGGGGAAGGAGGGGATGCCGCAGGGTTGGGATCGCCTTCCATGGACGTGCTCCTCAGGCCCAAGTTGCAGAGTTCCACGTAGCCAAAGAGCCAGCAGTCCTTATCCACCCGCGACTGTCAAGGCATCGATCATTAACCTACCCAGAGTTGGAACGTCTCTGATTCGACCTTGACTTTCCTTCTGGGGCTACCCTCTTAGCAGCTTAATGACTCGAGCTAACCTAGGGTTAATCCATGTTATGGGAACCAGAAACGAGAGCGGCCAGCGCGAGTTGGCAAGACGTGAAACATTGTTGAACGCATCTTGCTGGGAAGTAGCTCGGCTTCCTTCTGTCCAGCTTTGAATGTTCTAGGCAGCTATTCAAAATACTTGCGCTTGACTTTCCCACCTAGACCAATGCTTTTTTCTTCCACGCCCTTCAAGTTGGTGCCATCTGGGAAAACTCTTTGGACAGTCCTGCGAATGCAGCTGCAACCTTTAGCCAAAAGCAGGGTCCAAACATCAGTGGGGCTGAAAAGGAGAGCCGAACACAGCTGTGCTCCTACTGAAGCCAAATGCAGGAAATATGCAGCCTTAGCCACCCTCGCTGGAGCCTGAAACACCTGGAGGCCACATCCCTCATTCCCAGCCAGCCTGGTCAGTGGGCATGCTGGCAAGAGATGATGGGCCTTGTAGGCCAACGCACCTGGAAGCCACCAGGGGGGCGGAGCAGTGGCACTAGAGGAAAGCTACAGCTCTGAGCTGGGACGCTGAGGATCCGGCTCACAAATCAAAGGATGACCTTCTGTGAGCAGGTATTTTCCCGTTTGCCAGCTTAGGGCAAGCTGCCCTTCTGACAATTTTGTAAGTGGACTCCTTTTCCACATCCCCCCACATGCAACACGAGAGCTAGGCCTGATTTTAACGAATCTAAAAAGATCCCCGTTGAACTGAACGTGCCGTATCACTTCTGTACTTTCGCTTCCCCTTGCAGGCTCGCTTCCCCACCTCCTTTACACACACCAGCGCCCTTCTTTAATGAGTTAGCCTTCCTGTTAGTGAGTGAAATCACTTAATGAGCTACTCCCGTTAAAGCATAACCCCTCAAGACATTCTCAGTCCCGCTCTGACAGAGATGCAAGTACTGCTCAGGACCAGAGAGCTCAGGTTTCAGTCCAGCAACCTCAGGTGTCTGTTCTCCCATCTCAGCTGCTCCAGGGTGAGCGGCTCCCAAAAGGTGATTTCAGCTTTCTAGTGAAAAAATACGCATGAGCAAAGCGGGGGAAAGCACGACTTAACCAGGAAAAGATCTGAGATTCCAGGAGGAGGCAAGAAAGCACTGCCTCTTACAACAGGGATGCGTAACCCATAGGACACACCTCCTGGGGGCCACAGGTGCCCTACCTGTTGCAAAGCAAAGCATGGACAAGCACCCAGCAAGAAAAGCACCAAGCTGGGGGAGGCAAGGGACAAGTGGAGGCAACCTGTTTACTTCTCCAATTCTCATTTGTCCGAAGTTCAGCACGGAAAGAGTTCAGTCTTGGGTGCCTTCAACTAGGGCTGGGAAAGACCCTGGAAAGCAGACCCCAATCCATACATGTGGTTCAGCGGTGAGCTCAGAACCAAACGACCTGTTACATTTAATTCGGGGTCCGACAACTTTCGGCACGGCTGTTTCATTTTGTTTCATCTCAGCTTGGATCTTGAGATGTGCCAGCAGGAGCCAGATGTGAGTATGTGGTGGGAAGAGGTGTAAGATTAGGGGATGGGAAGCTGCGAAGGACATGCCCAGTCTGGGAATTCATTGTCCGTTCTAGTATGGAGTCCTTCACTGATGATTTCCCTCCATGCTTCTGCCACGTAATTTTGAAAAAAGGAAGGAAGGAGGAGAGAAGGCTTTGTTCCTGCTAGATAGCCAGGATTCAGAAATCTTGGGGCGACTGCAAATCGCTTCAAAATCACCCGCTACGAGCCGGGAATCTGTGCCAGAAACAGTCCTTTTGGACCTTTTCAAAAACGCTCCTGAGTTAGACACGAGCAGTTTGCTGACACCAAATTATTCCGGGTCATTAAAACAGAAAAGGGCACACATATGCACATTTCCCACAGGGGTATTGTTCAGCTAACAAAAACAGCACAACCGCTGAACAAACATTTCCTAAGAAGCTCACACAAGAACAAAACCTTTTATTCTTCTTGTTGCAGAAAATAAATACCAGTGCATATTCCATATGCTTTTCCTATAAAAGCACTTCTACAAAAATGTTACTGAACTGCGTACAACAGTGCGACCTCTGGGGGAAGGGGGGTTTGGCTTGTCCAATGAAAACTCTCTACAGTAGCTGCTTTTTATATTAGTGAGCCTTTGAAGCACTCGTGAACTAGCTGATTTTTCAGGGGAAGGCAAGTTAGGTGGAGGCGCCATGGCCTCCGGCACGTGCAAGTACGTTGTATGCTTGGGGCACCGTCTTCTAGGGCCTTCTTTTGCACAAATCCAACGGAACAGGAGTTGCACAAGAGTGCGGGGAGAGACCACAGACAGGTGGTTCTCGCCCTCTCTCCTGATCTCTGAGTTCTACAGGGGGCTGGGCTCACATTTCTGCGTGGAGGCACGTGAGATCTGGGAACAGCCTCCGTGATGGTCCGGGGGAATGATGCCACACTGTTGCCCCAGGGATACAACACACCTTGGAAGATCACACAAGTGCTCTCTGGTCACCCAGCCCTCAATGGGGGAGAAAACCCGAAGGCTCTTGCACAATCCCGGATCACCGAAACCAGACTTGGGAAGAGGAATACCCCAAAGCAAGGAAGCGCCTTAAGAAACGGTGCAGCTAATCTAACAGCAACAAGGATTTCTTAAAAAAAAAAAAACACCTTATCTTTTCTTGGCTTTTCTTTTTTGATAAAGTCTGTTCTTCTTGAACGCTACAAAGAAAATAGCTCTGAAACTTTCATCTACTGAACAAAACAGTGCGGAGGGGAGAAAGCAACTAAACGAAACAGGCTCCATTGAAATACAAAGTTCAAGCCACAATGTTTCACAGTTCAGTTTTTGTACATGTCCAGTTTGGCCCCTGAAAATATTTCCTTCTTTAAGCCTCCAAAAAGTTATCAGTCATCCAGTCCTATGTTTCTGAAAAGGTACGACATGGACTCCCCGTTGTGGATTCTGCGAATGGCTTCTGAAAGGATCATGCTGATGTCGACAGTCTTAATTTTGGGGCACTGCAGCTTCTGGATCTCATGAGGAATTGTGTTGGTGACCACAACCTGGAAGGAAAAAGCCAAGAGATAAGGAGACGAACCGCAGTCCTGCCGCAGGGCTTTCTTAAAAGCATGCCCTAGCCTTCTGTTTAGATTGCTCCACTCGTCCTAACGAGGCACTGCGAGAGAAATGAGGAACAGGGTGGGTTTGTGGCTAAGCCTCGCTCTGCTTTGCACTGGTGCGAGGAGGAGTTCTCACAAGAACCGTCAACCGCCAACCATCCAGATTCTGTGGGAGATCCCTGGCTTTGCTGTGCTGCTCCATTTCTATTTTCCATTATGTTATTGCTGCTTTTAAGATACTCGAATGCTGCTGGCACTTTCTAAATGCTTCAGATTTGCATCCTGCTTTGCTTTTCCTTTAAAAAGTGACGCATAAAGGAATCGAAGCACAAGGCAAAAAAGCCAAGCGCAACGGACAGGCCATGGGTCGTGATATCTGCTGCAGGCATTTCTGTACCACCTTTCCAAAAGGTGGTACATGTATTGCAGCAGCAATACATGAAGAGCAGCAGGAAGAGCCACGGCTGCTCCACGGTCCCACACAAGGACACCATATGCTCGTACGGAAAAGTTTGGGTTTTCCCTCGAGCCGAAAGACGCTTCTAGCCTGCCGAATGTCTCAGCAGCAGCAGCGAGAGACGTTCTGGGCACATTCCCACTGAAGGAAACCTTTTGACATCGGAGGCTTCTCCTTCCCAGGGCACGAGCGTCCCTTCGCACAAGCCAGCAGCCATCCTTCAAGGCGGGCGCCTGCTCGCTTACCTCGTCGATTGCGGACTCCTCTATCAACCTGGGGGCGTCTGAGGAAAGGAGGCCGTGGGTGGCCATGACGAAGATCTTGTAGGCACCTCTCTCTTTCAGCGTCTCGGCGGCAGCGAGGAAGCTATCCACGTCGTCTATGATGTCATCCTGGCCAAAAGGACACGGGACAAGGTGTCAGCACTTCCTCGGCCACCGCAGCATCCACGCGGACAGGTGGCCTGAAGGGCTGGCCGCACAACTGGGTTTTGCTCATGCCACTTGGGGGCCTGGCCCCAGATTCAAAGCTGCTCGCTCCGCAAGCGCACCTGCCCTGCGAGGCCTTCCCTGCTCCGCATGCCCGCTCTGTCTGGAATGGCAGAAGGCCCCGCAGAACAGATAGTTTCGGCATCACTATGGCTGAGACGTGGCCCTCCTTTAATCTCACTGTTCTCTAGGAAGCTCTTCAAGGAAGGGCTGCGTTGTTCTGGCCTTGCCCGCTGCATGGCCTGGATTCACAGCGGCGGCTTACGCGGTTGCTGTGGTTTCTTGGAGGGCGGTGGTCTTCTGTCCATTAAGTGGCGAGTTTTATCCTGGGTTGTGAGCTGCTGATCTTAAAAGGCTAATGTGGGGTATTTTTAATACAATACTGAAGGGAAGGAGCCAGATGCTGGGGGCTCCGAGAAGGACTCCACGGACTACTTATAGGAACAGTATCTCAGCTACGCGGAAGTCTCCATGCAAAACGATGCCTATGGATCCCAGACATGGGAGAGCTGACTAATAACTCAGGAAGCAGGACATCCCGTGGCGTCCGCCCGGAAACACGCGGATCATCACCCACTGCATGACCAACCCCAGCTTCTGGGTTCGTTGCTGCATCCCAAGCATATTTCAAGCTGTAGGCGGGAGGGAAGGGTTTTCTGAAATGCCACCTGCAGGGCATTTCCTGATGCTTCCAGGGGTGCCTTCTCTGCCCCAAATGACAAACAGCTTTTCACTATTATTTTTACCAGTGTCAAAGCACTCCCCCCCTCCCCGCCGGAACTGCTAGGGCAGGTTTGTGATGCGTTCACCTACAGGCCTCCCTGAACTGTTTTGATTCCAAGCGCTTGAGGAGCTTACTGGGATCCAGAGTGGATTTGTTTTGTGGGAAGACTTACTAACACCGAATAACGGAAACACGATAAACACTGTTCCTTTGCGGCACTGCGCCCTCCCCAGCCTTTCAAGCACGCTGTGATGCAGCCTTTCCCCATCGGCGGCTAACCAGCGCTGCTGGACTGCAGCTCCTAGCAACCACCAATCGGAAGGCACCAAACTGGGGAAGGTGGCTCCAATCCTCCTCCACCTGCATCTGCATCTTCCTAGACGATTTGCCTCTTCGCTCGGTCTGATGCACCAGCCCCTCAGCATCTGTTAACTGGCCGCATCTTCACTCTCCTGCCACTTTGCGAGATGAAAAGCTGCCCGACTTTCTGCAGACACAGCCGTCCCTCAAAAGTGTTTTTCGGTGTGCAAGAACTGGATTAACAGCTCAGCTAATAACTCGAGGGGTGGGGAATAATTACCAGCCATCTTATATTATATTAACCGGAATACTGCGCACAACAAGTCAGGCTATCAAGTAAAACAAAACAGAACTCGACAACTTTGTTGGCAAACGTAAATAATTGACTCTCTCCTGTTACTACATGCCTTTTATCATTTTAATTATAAACGCAAGCCGCGAGGGAATTAACGACTTCCCGTTTGGGTGCAGGCTGTCCCTTTAATTTAGGGCTCACTGGTGCGGCTGCAAGGTAGCAGCACTTTGAATGGTCAGCCACACCTGGCTGAGATGCGGCTCCCACAGCTCAGCCAGCGTCCTGAACCCAATTATCTGCCCCTTTCATGGCACAAGCTAACGCAGGGACAAAAGGAGGCATCGCTCAAAAACAGCGAACAGCAGCTGCGGTGCCAGCAAACCGAGGGCCACGCAAGTGCAGACGAACTGAGCGACTAAATGCTGCTGCCTCAGGATCTGTCATGCTCATATTGGCACACAATGAAACATAAAAACAGAGCGAGCCAGAAGGGGCCTCCCAGGCCATCTAGTCTGACCCCCGGCTCCAGCCGGCTCCGCTCACAACATGCCCACCATGTGCATGTCAAAAGCGGCTCTTCGGTTGTAATATGCCCTGCGTGAGGGGCCGCAGTTTCCCAGAGGCCTACGGTCTGACCTGAGGGAGCTCTCCCTCTTTTCAATGGGGGAACTTAACTACGGAGACCAGCATAAAGATGTTACATGCCACTGCTTAAAAATCCAATACACAAAAGGCTAGTATTTAGAGAATTTCTGTCTTGCCCTTCAACAAGTCCGCAAGGCAGCTTACAAGGAATTAAAATTACAATAAAACAAATTAATCCACAAGCATAACGTTGGGAAAAAAAAACTTAAACACATCACTAAAGAAACGACTTGCAAGAGCAGGATAAAAGTCTGCAGAAAATGAAACAGATCAGATCAAAGGGCCTGGAAAATTCTAAGAGACGAGACGGCAAGGCCTGGGAAAATAAGGCAGGTCTTGGCCTGGCCCCAGAATGACAAAGCGGGGACCAGGCAAGCCTTCCTTGAGTGGGCGCCTTCACAGGCAGCAGCCAAGTTACGCTGTTCTAGCGCTGCAAATTAAACAAGGGGAACGTTCAGCTCAAGCCAGAGTTTCGGTCAGAAGTGTTTCAGACCAATTCTGCTTCATTTCCTGATCCACGGGGTTATTACTCAAACCGAGCAGCAGCAATCGCAGCCAACTGAACTTGCGCTCTTGAAACATGACGCTTTCACAAGATGTACGTATCTACACGCTGCACTCCCAAACATTTTTTTAAAAAATAAGAGCCCCGCCAGAGCAGATCAAAACGTCATCTAGTCTAGCTGTCCCTTCAGAGAGTGGCCACTGGGTGCCGACACGAAATCCACTGTTGAAAATCCACGGGTTGCTACATACCACGATGATGGCTATCCTTCCGCCTACATCTCCGACCACCGTGATGGGAGGCTTTTCTTTCGGAATCAGCACTGATTTGAGAAGGAAAAACGGAGAATCATATCATATTGTCTGCCCGTCATCTCCAAACATCCCCCCGGCCCCATATTCCTCTCTACATGATCCAACCCATAATTTCTCCTGCCCGTTGCCTCTGCCAAGGCAGACAGCAGGGAATGTCCCACGAGGGAATTCCTCTTGCAATTCTAAATCCTTGCTCTCCCGCGACCAGCAAGAGCAGAGTTCCACAGAGGTGGAACCCTTGTCCGAAGGAGGCACAGCTAGGCTTGAAAGGACGGAGCCAACTGGCACGAACTGAACCCTAAGCTCCCTCGAGAGCCCGTTTCTCTCCTGCATTTCTTCTGCCCACTGTGCCACGGTGGCTAAAATTTCACCCACGTCCCAGCAATACCATCGCTACTGGCCCCCAGTGTGAATCCAGCACGCTTCATTTTTTAAGTTTCTGTGTTAAAGTGCCATTTTTAAGTTTCTGCCCGGAGAACGGCCATGAGCGCGTGGGGCGGGCTCCCGCGCTCTGGAATTCTGATGTCCCTGGATGAGGAAGCCTGTCCCAACGAGACCGAGGCGAACGCTTCGGTTTGCTCTCAGCTTAAGATTCCAGCTTGTGAGGCAAGCGACAACCCAGAGAGCCCGGTCTTGATGGACACCGACCACCCATGGACGGAGGTCCCCTCCTTGCCCAGCCACTCCTGCTGGCAGGTGAAGCCAGGAAGGAACACCTGAGCGGCAAAGACCAGCGCGCTCACTCGCGTGCAGCCAGCCAGCAGCCAGCAGTTTGGGGTCCCCGTGAAACCGCAAGATAAAGGCTTGGCTGATGTGAACGCAAGAGCAAAGCTCAGGGGCAGGAAGGAAAGAGAGGCGGCAGATGAGCACGGAGGAGAGAGGCAGGTGAAACGCCGTGCTCCCGATCACATGCAATGCCCCGAGTGGCAAACCGTGCTTCAGAAATACACGTCCAGAAAAGAAACTGGGAAAGGCCTGGAGAGCAGAGCTTCCGAACTTCCCACCGGAAACCACGGGCTGCGCTTCTCTGAACACGGCAGTGTGTGCGTGGCTGCACACGCCACGTGCACCGGACGAGCACACGCCGCCCCGCCCCATGGCTTACTGGGTATCTCTAAGCTTGGGTGGATGGCGGCGACACTTTTGGCGGTCGGGGGCGAGTGGCGGCCGTCCACCAGGTCGGACTCGGCGTCTTGCGCCTCCCCGTGTATCACAGCGATGCCCAGGCGCAGGCGCTCCGCGAAGGACTGTGCCCTACAAAGCAAGCCAGACGGGATTGGGGCGCACGTCAGCGCTGGCGTCGCGCTGGGAGAGAGACGAGGAGGAGGAGGAGGGTGCAAAGGCCGGGATTCCCCTTCTCCGCGCCTTGGCTGACGGCTGCAGGCTGGGGGCAGGCCGAGTCGATGCCAAGGGGCTGGCCGGTTCACACGGGAATCCAATCCAGGTCCCTTCTTGTGTCCTCCTCTATTTGGCCATAAACGAAGATGTAGGCCTCCTCGGGTATTACAGAGCAAGCACGCCAGGAGGACCACCCGGTGCTGAGCGGCCGAGCCTGGCTCTCTTTCCCCCACACAAGGAACCCCGTACAAAGCAGGACTTTCCAAAAGTCCCTGCTTGTCGCAGTCATTCCTGACATTTGATTTATTTATCTGGAGGTGAATACTAAAATCTTGGGGGCGCCCTGGGATCGAGACGCAGCGACCAGTCTTGACCTCGCGAGCCACAAGGCTCAGGCCACCCAGTATTTCTGTGCTCGCTCAGTCTCCCGGCGGGAGAGGCAAGACTCCTGCCCACCATTTCCCAATTTCTACTATACACATTTCTAAAGTGGGATGAAAAGGCATTTTGTCAGGCACTGTGTTTCTCTGATTCATTTTTCTTGCAAATACTTCAGTGCAGCTTATCATCCTCCTCTTTGCCTCATCCTCACAACAACCCTACGAGGTAGACAAGCCTGAGAGTGCATGACTGGCCTAAGGCCACGCAGTGACCCTTACGGGTGGGAGGGGAGAGAACTGGATCTCCTGCCTTCCAGCCCGACCGTCTAATGCTTCACTGACTCTTCTGAATTCTATTTTTTTCGTTTAGTTTTTGTTTTCCATTCAGATAATGCCTTTTATCGGAAAGTAACTAAGTATGAACAGCTCTGTCAGCAGCAGTTTACAGAAGGTGAGGTTCTCTGTTGCCTCCTCTTGCCAGTTATTAGGTGTAATCTTAACCTGTATATAGTTACCAATTACAGACGTCAAAGTTAGTTGACGCTACAGTGAAATGGTTCTGAAGAACAAACAATACACCCACCTCTTTGCAGATGCAGGAGATTTGGCAACAATTACGGCATTCCTGTAGTCTGGAATCTGCCAAAAAAAAAGACCCATACAGAATTGTCCTTTTTACCTCGTCTTTCCCGCTGAAAATTTAAGAATGCTCTTATTCAGGTTTTGCTGTACTAAAACTCAATAACACAGCTAAACATGGCCTCTCCTTTTTACAATGCGCCTTTTCCCTTTCAAGAACTTCCCTCACCAGCCCCAGAGAATGTCGGGCTGGCTGGTGTCTCCTGAAACAGAAACACCCCCGTAAAGTGGCGGTAGATGCACCACAACAAGGCTAAGTCCCAAACTGCAGAATTGCAATGCCATCAGGCGGGCAGTTGCCAACACATTATCCAGCTGAACCCGTGTCCACTGCCAGCCCCCCAGGCTAGAGCCCCACCCTGGTCTCAGGTGGGAAAAGGCATGTGCCAAATGAGGACTGCTCACGTTCTGCCCCAGGCCTAGGAGGGGGTGCACTGAGGTCACCTGGCCCCTTCAGCATGGAAGCAGCCAAAGGAGGGAAAGAAAACGTCGCTTTGCTCACCTCTTCTTGGATGTACTGCAGCAAAAACGGAGATGCTCGGAGGTTGTCAACCGGGACGTTGAAGAAGCCCTGGATCTCCTTCTGATGCAAGTCCATGGTGATCAAGTGGGTCAGACCTTTGGGGAGAGCGGGGGAGCGCGTGCTTCATAAGCAGCAGCAAAGACATAAGAAACAGACGTGCCGGGCAATAAAACGGCGTTCCTGAAGAAGCCGCGTTTCAGGAAGCGCTTTCCCCACAATTCATGCTTTGAACACCTACCTGCACGGACAGGAAACGGAACGGCAAGGGGACTCAACGTGGCCACCCGTCCCCACTTTATTCTTGGGACAACCTGCAAAGCTGGCCTGAGAAAAAGGAGAGCTGAAAGCTCTCTGACTGGATGGGGCTCGAAGGCCTGTGAGCCCAGTCTCCCTGCCAGACGCCCCGACGTTCGGCCACAGAGCGTGACGGCGCTTCTTCCCCCAGGCTGCAAGCCTCCTCATGTCGCCGGCCGGGCCGGCTGCACGGACGGCTCAAGCGCTCTGCAGCTGCCCCAAGCCCAGCTAGAGCCGGGCCGGCTGCATGGACGGCTCAAGCGCTCCGCAGCCACCCCAAGCCCAGCCTCGAGGGGCCGGCTCCAGGGCCGCCGAGGGGCAAACCGAACTGTGGCAGCGGCTGGCCTGAGGAGCGAGGAACGGGAGCGACCCCTGCACGCGGCCTTGCCGTAGGCTGCGCTCCTTCCTGCGCGAGGCTGCTCGGCGGAGGGGGGACGCGGGGGCCGTCTCCCCGGGGCCCGTGCCCCGCCTCCTCACCTGCCTTGCACATCATCGAGGCCAGCAGCTTGGAGACGATGGAGCCCCGCTTCCTCATCTTGCACTGCTTGCTGTACGGGAAGTACGGCACCACGCCGATGATGCTCTTGGCGCAGGACGTCTTGCAGGCGTAGACCATGATCAGGAGCTCCATGACGGTGGTGTTCACGTCCCTGCAGTGGCGAGGGGCGGCCCCTTATCCGGCCTCGGCACGCTAGCAGACGCTGCGCTGCGGCAGCAATCTGAACGCGAGCCCCCCGCCCCCCGCAGGAGGACGCGCAGAGCCCTAACGGCCGCCCGGAATTCCCCAGGGAAGCCCTGCTGCACTTCGCAGAAGACTTTTAACGCTACACTCGGTGACCTTCTGCACTCGTCACCGCCTCCTGCAAACAGTCCCCAAACGCAGGCCGCCTGTCCTACGGTGCAGCGTTATCCAGGAAGCAAAGTGGGCCCCGGGAGAGGCATTTCGACGGCTTAGAAAGCCAAGCATGACCCACGGCTGGGGAAAGAGGCCTGTGGCTTCATCCATGAGTCCTGGATAACGACTTGCTTGGTTGCCACGCAGGTGAGAGCGCGACCGGGAAATTTAAGAATGGACGCCACCGCTTTTCGTGTAATGCAGAAGGATGCGCAGGAGTGCAGACGTATCACGAGGAAAAAGAGGCAAGCTGCACCTACGGCCCCATCCTGCCCCAACCGTTTCGCGGCCGCGGAGGGCTGATTCCGAGCAGACGTTTGCACTCACTTGGACACGGTCTGGATGATGAAGACGTCTTTCCCTCTCACAGACTCTTGAATCTGCACCCGTGTTTCTGCCAAAAGAGAGCAAACACTCAGCGTGAGAGCCTTAGCGAGGGAGGGGTGCTTTTCATTTTCATTCCTTTGCTGCCCAAAAAAAGCCTTTCTCTGGGTGGTTCATAACAAAAATACCTGCTCAAAATGCAAAATTACTCATCATTAAGGCTCAGGAAAGTCGCTGCAATCTTTCAGACCTGGGGTGGGGGACAGAGATGTTCAAAGAGCCAGGCATCGCCAAATGACCAGGGTGGGCTCTCTGTGGTCCATGGGAAATGGAACCTAGGAGTATTTAAGTCAGACCCTTATTCGGAACCATGAGGACTAGAATCTTTATACATATGGAAAACAACCACAGCTCTGTAACAGAGTCTCTGCTTTACATGAGCAAGTTCCCCTTTCAGTCCCTGGCACCTTCAGGTGGGGCTGGCTGGAAAAATCCCTGTCTGAAACCCCGGAGAGCCACGAGGTTCTTAACGCTAAACCACGTGGGACGCAACTGCTCTCCTTGCCCAACGCATGGATGCCTCTGCACAGAGAAATGCCGGCAAGGCTTCCGTCGAGCAGGGAGGATCACCAAGGGCCGTTTTCATCCGGCAGCGTCCACACCACCTGATGCAATACCTGCTGAGGAACTGCAAGCTCAGGCTGCCATCCTGGACCGGCTGCCTCCAGCTGAAGCACTGCAGCAAGGGAGGGCGGCAGAAACCACCTCTCTCACCTGCGTAGGTGAAAGGCTCTTCCTCCCACCCCGCAAAAGCTGCCACAGGGTCACATGTAGAGATCCTTCAGGGGAAAGGGGTGTTGCGGAGGGAGACTGTGATGAGAGGCCTCGTGAACTACGGTGTTCCCCTACTGCTCTGAGCAATGAATACTCACCTCTGTTTGGTTCCTGGTACACCTGAACTTTGCCCATCTCTACTCCCAGTCGCCTGCAGAAGGATCCCAGACAAAGCCAAGTCACCACGAGGCAAATGAGCCCCAAACTGTACAAAGTTACTGCTTTATAGAGCATGCTGGAAAAGCACTTTTATTATGCCTGGCTTGGCCAGGCAGGTGCCGGGCGTAGAAAATTGCTAGAACAGGTTTGTTCTCAAGGAAATGTTCCACTGAAAGATTGTTTTGAAAGTGAATCTGAGAGCTGCCCTCAGGTTACAAAAAACCTAGAATGAGTGCAGAGGATACCCTCAAACCTGGGCAGAGACGACTTAGGACTGCGGAGGAGCAAAACGTTGCTTGCTTACTGGGACTGAAAACAGAAACAAGCAGGAGGAACTGCATGCAAGCTGCTGGATTTACAGAACTTTTCAAAGGTGGTAGTGACCGAGCGCCACGCAGAGATGCTTCGAGGACAGCAGTTCCACATGCACTGATTCACCTAATGGTTGCTCAAGAAATCGGGAGGTCCACAAATCGACGCCCCGGTCACAGATTACAAGCTGCGGAAGCCCGTCCCAGAGGCAGCGCCTTGAAATTGGCAGACCCGATCACATATGCAGGTCTGGCTCATTAGAGCGGAGGTCTTGGCAAACAACCACGGAACAGCACTCAGCAACTGGACAATGCATGCTGATCTAAACAGGTTGTGCTTTCTCCTCATGCCCACCGGAACTACGGCAGGAACAAGGGCCGGCGACAAATGGTTTAAAAAGGAGGCATCCGTTACTCACTCGGCAATCCTTTTCGATAGTTCCATGCACGATGGGTTGGAATTGGCTGAAAAGAGCACCAGCCCGCCCTTCGTTATGTTCATGATGGGTCCTCCTCCAATGGGTGCCACACAAAACATCAAACCTTCCTTCGCCTTCCCACTTTTAAAATACTGGGAAAAAGATCACATGCGCATTAGGCCTAATGCAAAAGGAAGAACCTCGAGACCAAAGGCCTGCATTTCAGTGCTACCGCCGCGTGCCCTGGAGAGCCCCCGAGAGGCTCGCTGCCTGGGGACATGCAGCACCCTGCCTCGTTCACATGCAGCACCGGTTAAGCAGAAGGTGCCTCAACTCTCCCCGTGGCCACGCGTTACAGGCAGGCCGTGCCCAAAAGAGTGGATCCACCAGGCCCGTCAACTCACTGAGGAGCTTCACTAAGTGCCCACGAAATGCCACGGGTCCCCAGCACAGTTGGAAGCTGCTGTTCCACACAAAACAGAGGGGTGAGGCGTGAAGTCCAGTCCAGTATTTGGCTCAATGCTCGATAAACAACCCAAATGCAAAGCCATTTGCGGTCTTAATGCCCACTTCTCCTTTCCCAGACTGTTTTCCCAGGCACCGCTGCCCTGGGGCAACAGCGCCAGCTCCTTTACATCCTCGCACCTCTGCACACATTCAAAGTGCTAAGACGACATGAGAGACCAGGCTGAGAACACCCGGCCAAAGCCCTTCGTCTTTCTTTCATTCTGAGGCCACTGTTGCTGCTGCTTCTCCGGGGCAAAACAGTGAAGCTCTGATCCAGTGCACAGACGTGAGGCGGGCACCGCTGCAGCGAAGGCAGGCACAGAGCTGGGATACCACATCCTTCCTCACGGAGGAGCCGTCAGCCAAGGCGGCTCTGGAATCAGCCACCTCGAATATCCTTGCGCTTGTAACCCAAGATGAAATGGTTCCCGGCTCCTACATCTATTAAAATCATCTCACCACTGTGTCGTTTGAAAGGACATAATTGTTTTAAAAGCACTTACAAAGAGACGGTATGATGGAGGGAAAGGCCCGGTACAGCCAGCAGAGAGCACAAAGACCTTCTGTACTTCGCTTCCTCCTTGCTACAAAGCTCTTCTCATCCAGCGACGCCACACAACAGCCTGTAAGAACAGCGAGCGTACAAAGATTCGGAGGGAGCGGGGAGCAGCGCACAAAACAGAGTCGCTGCACATGACGCGCTCACCACCGTCAGATTATGACTTGGAAAAGCTATACTGCTTTGTCATTAACAGCAATGATCTGGACTATAAAAATACCCCAGTGCCTTCATCAAACACCAAGGCCGGACATATTAATTTACAAGAAAAGTTCATTCTATCTGCTATCAACCTCAGACACTGCATCACAACCGTGTCGTCATTAGGGAGAATGACCCCCCTCGGGTCAACTAAAATAACGGAAAGCAGCACCCCCTCGGTTCTCGCTGCAGCGTCTATAAAAACACTGTTAGTCATGGGTGCGCTGAATGCCAAGCACGGAGTCGTTAACGCTCCTTCCCGCCCTCCCTCCCTCCGCAAACAGGCTGCATTCTGTTTGCCCAGACTCGGAGGAATTTGCACCGCCAAAGCAAGGGTGGAGGAAACAGTTCCCAGCCGAAGCGCGGCCGCATCCTCTGCTCATGTGGATTAGCACCTCGCCCATTCAGGCGATGCTTAAAGAACAGACTTGGTGGGCATGGAATTGGTGAACTGCCCAGTAAAGCAGCCAGTGTCGCAAGCAGAAGCTTCTTCAAAAAGGCACAAGCTAGAAGGAAGCAAAAAAGGCCAACAGGACGACGAGAGGAAAGCCACACTCCGAGTGTCTCTCACAAAGGGGACAGCGGAGGCAAGCCTTGTAGGAAACAGCCGACAAAAAGTGGCAGCACACACGTGTGATCCAACCGCCAGGACAGAGTCTGCGCACAAAAGGCAGAAGGGGAGCAGGACAGACCCCAGGCAGCGGAAGGCACCGTTGGGCTCGAGGGACAGCCGATGCCTGGCCAGCAGCCAGGAGTGAAGTGGCTCTGACTTTTCTGGCATCTCCACATCCTACATGCCAAGCGCACAAAACAACTTGACGCTCCTGAACTGTACCAAAGGCCCCCGTGCATCACAGCATGGGCCAGAGGAGGCCTGCAGTTAACCCTGCGCATCCCGAAAATGCACCTGCATCCTGAACAGCTGCTGTGACAAAATCAAAAAGCACCGATTTGCAACGCTCTTCTCAACTCCAAAGTATAATTCAATGCACCTGGCCAGGCTGCCTTCTGTACCTGAGAATGTTATCTGCTTAGAGACAACAGCCATTTCGAAGCCCATGTGAGGTTACTGAGCAAGATCGCTTCCTGAAGTGAACGTCCCTGGGGGCACAGCTCACGGCATAAGAGGACTCCCCCAGATGACGCTGGGTTTGCGCCGAAGTTTCTAAAACGCTCAAGAACAGGAGCTGTGAGGGAGATGTGATGCGAATTGCCCCTGCTGCTGGGCCACCAGAGCGCTCAGCTTCAGAACTGAGCCCCATGCAGCGTCCGGGGAGCAGAAGGCCGGCCAGTGAAGAAACAGGACCACGGACCCTTCCCAGCACCCACGGCCCTGGCCCTGCCCACGCTGCTCTTCACCACCACGTCCCCGGGGCAGGTTTCAGACCCTGCAATTCTGCTGCGGCCAGGGATGAGGGAGCGCCAGCGCTGCAGGCCAAAACATCCGGAGCGCCGCAAGCTGCCCACCCACCGTTCTCATTAAGCTGTACTTATGCCCCACCTTTCTTCTTCTAACAAGGGACTTGGGGCACCTACGAGGGTCCCCCCCTCGCCATTCTGTCCTCACAACCACCAACGCCTTCTCAGGCTAAGAAGCATCGGCTGATCCTAAGCGACCCGCAGGTTTCATGGCGGGTTGGAGACTAGAACCCAGATCTCCTCAGTCCCAGTCCAGTGCTCTAACCACTATACCCCACTGGCTCTCTAGAGGGCAGAACTATAAAAAAACCCGTTTTGGTAAGACCCACTGACTACCACTCATAGTTTAATCAATGCATTTTCATACTCTTTCCTTTGATGGTTCACTGCTGGAAATCTAATTGTAAGTGCTTCTTGGTACCTTATGATCAAGCAACGGAAATGCACTGTCTGTCATTATACACACACTTCTGAGTGTATTTATTTGCCTCTTCCCTCTCTGCTCCTTCTGTAAGCTGTTGTCATAACATGTAAACATTCTGCTTTGGACCCAAGTAGGTAAATACATGCAGTAAAGATACTGATTTTAATCATGTAAACACACACAGCCCTTATGTTTAGACAGACTGTGTGCAACGAAAGAAAATACTTTTGCTACCAGCATCATCCTGCTTGAGACTATTGAGGGCAGTTTTATAAACAACAACAAGGGATTCCGAGCAAGTTTACTCCTTAACTAGTTCGGTAAGAGCTACCACCTGGTAATTTGGGTGGGTCCTAATAAAAGCATGGCCTACATTTGAATTTCGGGTTCTTTTCTGATGGAAACGATCTTTCCTTCTAACGTCCTTTCCAGAGAGTAGACTCAGGGGCTCAAAGGTTAGCATCGCTCAGTATTTTGCAGCCACCAGATCAGCATCACCAATCCAAGTCCGCAAGTCCTTCAAGAGCCTGCACTCACCAAGACAGTACGAGGCACCCGTGTGAAAAATCACAGCCTCCATGTTCCAGACCACATCTACGGAAATTGTGCTGGAGCCAAGAACGACCTGCCCCCCTCGCAAGGAGAAAGCAAGGGCAGCAGCCGTTCTTAATGGCACCCGCAAACGCCTTTGCCCATTACCAGACCGGGAGCAGAACTGGATTATAGGCATGCCTTATTATGTATGGGCAGCAAAGACACTGACAGGATGGAGAAGTCCAGTACCTGAAAGCACACTTTTCAACCTGGCGTTGGGAAATAAAAGCAGGCATCCCCCTCCCCCCCCGCCCCAGCTCCAACAACTACGCCCAGAAAGAGATTACAGGCAGAATTAATGGAGAGGCTGTTCTTGAGAGGCCATTTAGACCCACCTGCACATCCATAGGGAATAATCTGAGATCCAGGTCATAAACGACAGTCGATTTTTAAAAACCCACAGCACCACCACAACGTGGTACCTAACAAGATGTTTCGGTAATGGTCACGTACCACAACTGCAGGCGTGGCTGGACTGAATCGTGGTCATTTGGGTCCCGTCAGCATCTGGAACACAGAGGATTTGGGGGCTGAGAGAGATGGGCACAGCCATCGCTCTCCGAGAAAACCTTCCCATCCCAAGCCAGCGCTTCCATGCATAAGGCCTCCGCCATTGTTACCGCGCCGCTGAAAAGATGAGCATAATAGAAATGATCCAAAGGCAGCACGCCCAGGGAATCCAAGGGGGATCGGTCCAGCGCCACACAAAATCGACAATGGAACAGGATCCTGCCATTTGTAACTCTCTCGAAGACAGAAACGAAGACAGAAGAACAGAGCTGGAAGAAACCTCTCCCTCCTCCAACTGTGTTTTAACTGAGTGGGGGGCACATAAGAACTGAGGGGGGTTTTCCGCAGTGGAGGGCTAGAAAGAGAACCACGATCCCTAACAAACATTCCAGATCAGCTTTTGTTATCCTGATGACACGAACCGGAAGACCTTCCAGCTGCTTATTTCCAATCCTGAGCTTCAACATGCAGAGTAGCACTGCAAAAATGAGCAAGCCCCGCGTTGTTTCCCCCCACCGAGAGCCGGGGTGGTGGGGAGACAAGCACACGGACAGCCCCACACTCCTGCCTTAGGCTGCTGGGGAGCAACCGTGCCGCCGCCGCCGCCTCCTCCTCACAATCCCAGTTTTTTGGGGGGCAACGTTACACCCATCCTTTCAGCATCAGGATCCGGGTCCCGCAGCCCAGGAAACACCATGCATGCACCTCTCGCTCAAAGGAGGCCTGCGGCCACACCAGGCGAGCAAGCGGCACGAAGGACGGGGCCACGCGCGCATCCCCGGCCCCCTGCGCCCCACCTGCTTTCTTCTCCCCCTGGCCTGCGACCGAGCCGGAGCCGGGGAGCCGGAGCCGGGGCTGCGCGCGCCTGCAAACCGGAGGCCACAACAATGGAGCCGCGGCAGCGCCGCCCTTCGCGCGGGGAGGTGGGGCCTCCCGTCCGCCGCCCGGCCCCGCCGCCACCGCGCCGCAGCCGCGACCTAATGCGCTCGCGTTTCACGCAGCGCGGCCCGCGAGGCAGCGGCCGCGCGCTCGCCCCGCATCCCGGGCGCACCCCGGCCGAGCCCCCGCGCCCAGAAGGGCGGGCAGAAAGACGGGCTGCCTCGGACGGCGCCCTGCGCTGGCGGGCCGACACAGCTCGGCGCGCGTCGGGAACGGTATGCGCGCGCGTGGCAGAGCCACCGGCAGCGTCCCCGCGCGCAGGCCCCGCGCGTGAGCGTGCGCGCACCAAGGACGCGCGTGCTGCGTCCCCACGTTATGGAGACGCGCGTCTTCCCGGGTAAAGGAAAGCCCCCCCCCGGCGACGCGCGCGCGCAGGTACAGGGACAGGTCGCCGCACGCGCGTCCGCAGGCACGCGGGGAGCAGCACCCCACGCGCGCGCGCCGGGCCCACGTGGCCGCGCTCCGGTACCTGCCCCTGCGCGCCGGGCCGGGCCGGGCCGGTGCG